CCATGCATCTCTACAAACACAAAAGCCATAAAAAAGGCCGGAGAAAATCCAGCAATGTCCACCTGGATTCCTGTTTGGCAACGTTTCGATGGAACATCAATGCACAGCAGCTGCATGACACAGCACCGCACATCATGAATCATGGCAGACGTACCCAATGCCCGCCCAAGGCCGAAATATCTGTGTGAATGAATGTCATCAATGCTGAAGGCGACCACAGAAACGTGGGAAATGTAGCAAGATATGGTCCCACTTTAGCACGATTTGAGCTTCAAATACATTCTTTGGTCGTTGTCCATGGCAATTTCAACACATTAAGAAACTGGCCACAAATGGCAGTAGTTTGCCTGTGATCGGATAGACTGAACTTCCTGTTGTTGGTACTGGGCAAAAACCAGCCCGAAAGGTGGATTTATCAATGCATCAATCACAACTCGACTGTAGTATCTGTTCCCGTACTTTGGGTCACAGCGCGCCTCTCACAGCCACTTGGTGCGCCCCAAGGGGAAGACTTGCGAGGGGCCAACATCGCCAAAAGGCGAGTGAAGTTTGTGCGCACACATCCCGGGGCCAAACGACAACGGAAACAGTTGAGCTGAGACTTGCAGAAAATGCTGCGAGGTTGACATTGGTCCTTGGCAAATTGCAAATCCACCTTGACTGCATTTGGCAACGTGCTTGGCCAAGTGGTGCCCCAAGTCTAGAGAGCGATGGCATGAGAATGGGGTGCGCTCATTACACGAGATGGGAACGCTGTTGTGGGGAGAAACAGGCACGCGAGGTTATCATTGGTTGATTGTTTCGATTGGTGGCATTTTTGCCCGTCCTTGAATAAGTGGTCGCAATCTTGCACCCAGCACGGCGGGCTGTAGTGTAGTTTGTTGTCCGACACGAGGGAGAGTTTCAAGCCAAGAAGTTGATTAAGCTGCCGGTGCATGGTTTGGTGCCAGCCAACATGAGTGTCGCACAGGCAATTGGTTCACCTTCCTGGAGCCGTCGGGGTTGTGGGTGATTGTCTACGGAGCCGTATGCTTCAGCACGGGCGCATTTAGGCTGAGATGTTTGTGCTGAAGCGCTGAGGTGTTTCGAGCAAAAGGGCGCGACGGATAGCCGGTCATGCTTGAAGTGGACGAGGGAGCCCTCTGTCAAGACGCAATAATAATGCGAATAAGGAAGTGGTCACGGTAGGAACTCGGGCTGCTGGCTGCATGTTTTGGCTCTGTGCACGTTCTCCATTCTTCGACTCATTTTCGCCGTCAAAATGCGTGAGCCTGAGCGCCCCTGATTGGCGCCCACTCTTCAACTTGTGTGTGGGGCAATTGATTGGGTTCGGTTGAAAACGCTGCGGGAGAGAATTTCAGAACCAGTTTGGAAATTGCGTCTTGGGGTCAGGTGGGCGTGGCGTTGCATTGTGCTCCTCTCTGGCGAGCGCCTGGTATTGAATTGGCCATTGTAACGTGAGAGTTGGCGTGTGGCCGCCCAGTTTTGTTGGCACCGGCAAAACAGCTGGCGTTTCACGCAGTTCCATGGCCACATTCGAGCAACGTCGAGTTGCTGAAATTGTGTCGCTTCAGCGAAAGCCGCGTTCAAACAAGAAAACATCAAATCACGCAAACTCAGCGGGTGTCATGGATTTCTCGCTGGTGTGGAGCGGCAAGACATGCGGACACACAGCCAGTAGTTGGCGACTGATACTTTGTGGATGGGAGCGGCATACGTGTGCGTTTGTTTGGCAATGAGTCTGGCAGGGTGGGGCGTTCTTTGTGCAAACTGCACACGTGTGTGCACAGAGTTGCTTGCTGCGTGTGCCCTCGCAAATTTTCTATTTGCGCTTCCCTTAATGCGCCACTTGAGAAGCGCTCAAAGCATCTTCCCGGACAGCAGCGCTATGGGCATAATTATTTACACCGATTGCATGAGCGACGCCTTCTCTCGTGTCTTTTCGCACGTCTTGAAGCTTGCCCCTCAGGCTCCAAATTGGACCAGGTGGTGGGGCTCTCTTCCGTCGAATTTTCCACCTGCACTTTGCTTTGAAGCTGTGCATTACTTCCGCACGTTGACCACAATGCCGGTTGGAACCCAGCCCCAGGCCAACGCACACCACCAACAGGGAAAAAAAAGCTGTTCGCGATGCCAAAGGCAATGCCATTTTGACACCAAACGGCGCCATCGCAGCAATTGCAACGGCACAAAACCAGCTGTCACGGCATCAGTTTGTGCCGAAAGGCATCGCAGCTGCAATCCCCATAACGGTGTCTTGTACTGCTGCTTCGCCACCCTCCCCCCTTCGCGGCCCCTTCCGCCTTCCACCCGCATTCCATTCCCCACTACTTTGCATCGACCTCCCCCTCATCCCTATACTTTATCCACCCCTCCGGGTTGCTTTGGCCCTTCCCTCGGGCACGCCGCTGGTTGTCCAGCCGTGGCGTTAACGCCGAGGGAGGCTGGTTGCCGCGCCACGCCGCTCCCCCCTCCGCCCCTCTCGCTGCTCTTCGAGGCGCCAAAACGCCGCTGAAGCAATCGCGGATCCAATCGCGGAGCCGATCGCGGAGCCAGTCGCGAGGCGGGGCGGTGGGTCGACGGCAACGGCGGCGGAGGGGGAAGGGGCATCGACCGGCGCCGGGCGCATCAGGTGGGCGCCGGCCAGCAATTGGGCCGAGCAGGGAAAGGGGACAGACAAAATTGGGAAGGGGGTGAGAGACTGTGGGGCAATGGGGGTGTTTGGGAGATTTTCGGCGATAGATGGCGTGGTGATGGCCGCGTGGGTAGCGATGGGCCCTGGGTTGGCCAATTCCAAGGGCGGTGGGGGGTGGGGTGGGGAGCGGGGCGCAACGGGAAAAGGAGAAGAGGGGGAGGGCGGTTGTTTTCATGGGTCCCCATTTTGGGCGACGGGCGTGCGGAGCGGCTTGGAAGATCCACGGGAGACCGCCCGGTCTCACCCGTGTTCATCGCGAGTGCGGTGGGGAGGGGAGCCATGGGTGGCATGAGGCGGTTGTCACGGGCGCCGGAAGCAAACGCCAGCGGTGGGACCGAGGGAAGATCGACGACTCGCGACGCGGTGCCTTGAAACGCGACAGGAGCGCCCTTCAGGGCCTGCGGGCCATGGGCGCACGCGTTGCGCGGCGTGTGCCGCGCCCCGCCGCGCTGCTGAAGGTGGCGATGTCCGGCCAGGCGGTGCGGCAGTTTCGCTTGGTGTTTTGTTGAGGTTTGACGCCACGGGGGACGTGCGACAGGAGCACGGTTTGCGGCGCGGGCGACGCCGCCCGGCAGGAAAGCGTCACCTTTGGCCGCTCTGGGCCACCAGCGGTGGGCAGACAACTCTCGGCGCTCGGCTCGCGACACGCAAGCGCCTGACGCGCCGCCAGCGCACGCGCGTCCCTCAGAGCGTTCGACTACCTGCCCGGCTTCATTTTGCTGTCACTGCCAGTACTTTGAACAGTACTTTATTTAAAGAGTACTTCATATTCTGACCCCACAAGCCAATCTACTGAAAAGATGGGTTTCAGGGTTAGCCACTGGTGAGCAGTCAGGTTGTGGCAGTCCTACGGTGTCCAGGGCGCAGTGGGGCTATGTGGCGTGACATGGCAACTCCCTTCAACACTGATGGTGATGGCGACTCACTTGCCTGGACGCCCCCTGCACGCACGCGGGCCACCAATTCCTCACAACAAGTGCACCGCACGTAATCCCCTCGAGTCTGTGCCGCTGCTATGCCACGCGAGCTCCTCGTACATAGGACGAAACTGCCTTCACAGCCTGGAAAGCGAAGTAGCGAATTTACGAAGTTGGGCGAAATTGCCAGCGCGGAGCAGTAACAGCGCCAGACGGTGGCGGTGCCACCGTGATTTATTCTGTGCGGACACGCTACCCTGCAGGGCGTGCGCAAGGCACCACGAGCCATCTTTTGGCAGTGGAAAAGCCGAGCGGTATTAACAGGAGCTGTACAACAGGTGGCTCCCCGTCGTCAATGGAATGCAGAAAACAGGCCTTCGCGTGTGAAAGTGGGGTAGCGAGCTAGCAGCCGGAGGCGCTCCAGCTGCCTGCCGCCGGAGATCGGGCTTGTGTGACGCCCCAGCTAAACAAGGCTGTTGACCTTGTCGAAAACGTTGCAAACCACTTCTCCTTCAGCTGTCAGCTGATATAACACACGTTCCACAGCATGCGCAAACAGCTCGTTTCTGCAATTGCGCTTTTCTTCCTTTCATTTTCTTGCTTCCCCTTTTCCTTCCTGGCTGGTCCTTGACTATGCATAGTGGCAGCACCACCAGTGTGCATCCTGCCAGCAAAGAGTGTTGCCCGTGCGCAATTGTTGATGCGAAAATCGAAATGGTTCCCTGCGGTTATTTTGAGGTGCAGTGAACGGCGGCCTGTCCCATTCGTGCCCTGCGCACAAAATCCGCCAAATTCGGCTTTCAGCTGTTGTGACGGCGCATCATCGGATCGCAGCGCCCGCAGAAAATAGCCCCCCCACGCACTGTTTCTTGCTGAAGGAAATGCGGGCTGACTCACAGAACTCCGCTGGCGTCCTGACACGAAGCTTGGAATTTTGCTGCAAGCCCCCATCGCCGTGTTGTTCGGAACATTTCCGGCCGCAAATGGAGCGTTACAAGGAATTGAAAAGTTGACGGTGACTGCTTGGCACACACATGTCGTGTATGTTCAGGCACCGCTAGCGCAGTGCGACATTGAGGGAGGGGAGTATTGGCTGCATGTCGCTGCAGAAATGTGGCTCGAGAATATCTTTGTGCTCTTGTAACCGCAGTGGTGGCTACAGTAATGACAGCGCAACTTGCGCCCTGTGACTGTGCGATTAAGTGTACTACCCGTTCTATGAGAGTGGATTACAGCGCACTAAGCGCCTAGCATATTTGTGGCGCTACACTTCCGCATTGCGAAGGATTAGAAAATGCTCGGAACGTGGTGAAAACTGGAGAAATTACTCGTGTAACATCAAATCTCCTTGTTGTGCAGATCCAAGAGCGGGCTAGGGGGGGCTCAAAATGGACGGTGGGGAGGCGGTCGCACTCACCAGCGCATCCGCCCCTGACACGAAGTCCCAGGTGGACGCTCTGAAATTGAAATACAAGGGGATTGGCGGAAAGGGCAAAGGGGATGGGGTGGACGCCAAGGGCCCCAAAAGTGCCTCCGCAACATTGGGCCCGCGGCAGGGCCTGCCGTGGAACAAGTACAACAGGCTGCTGTCCCAGCCGAAGCCGCCTGCACGAATCTCTAAGCCCTCGAAGGAGGAGAACGCGAGGCGCAAATTATGGATGGAGGAAAAGCTGAAGTACCAGGAGAAGCAGCAGCGCCTCATCGAGAAAAGGTGGCGACGTTGGGGGCGTTTGTGGCCAATTCTGATTTGAAGAGCGTGCAATTTCCCATGTGCAAAATAAAGAAATTCGACGCTGAAAAGAGGCGTGGACAACATGGTAATTTCCTCGGTACTGTCACCTTTGAACACAGCCTACATAGCCAGTGCGCTAGGGGAAAAAGGCCAAATAACGCGTGCCCAATGTGTGCAAAGCTTACTAGTTGTGAAATTTTTGCGCTCTCAGTGTGCAGAACTTTGATACATTGCGTTTTATGTGTGTCCGCAAAAGTGTACTTTGGTCCTTTTTTGCCAGTGGTGCATGCTGTTTAGCTACACAAAAACTGCACAAACGCAGGCGCAAATTTTGTGAAGTTGCGCAAAATTTTTTGCTCTATTTTTGCTGCTCACGCACCAACTGACACCGGGGGAGGCGGGTGTCGGCCTTGCACCAAAAGAGAAGACATATTCAGTACACAATATGGCAAAGCATGCAATGTATGTGCATTACACGTTTCTTAAGACGACTGCGCATATTTTGACGAACTAATGAGCTGAACGAAAATGCAATGCTGCAAAACTGTGCACAATAGCAGCGTGTCCAAAAATTTGCGCGGGGCACCAATTTCGAAAACTCCCCTGGGTGCCATCAGATGCTGAAATTGATACTTCCCAATCTTTTTCCTTCCAAAGCGTACAACTGACTCCGCCTACTTATTTGCAACTGGAACAAGTATCCCCCAGAAACAAGATCGCCATCGAGTGCGCGCAATGGCGTGTTAAAAATGCCATCACAGCCGGTCACGTTTCAGCGAAGCGCAGTATTGAGCAATCACGGAATCCTGTCTGAGCACACATTGAGGCAATCTGTTTTGCGCTATTGTTTTGCCACGAAGTGTGCTGCACGGGCACCCACGTTGCGGACAAATCGATATTGAATTCTGAAAGCAACTGTGCACAGAAAAACGGCCGAGAAACAGAAAAAAGAAGAAGTGGAGAGGAAAAAGGCCATGGAGAGGAAGGAGGCGCTGTACGAGCGGTCCCAGCAGCGGATGGAGCTGCAGGAGCGGCTGGCGCGGCAGCGGGAGGAGGCGGATGAGCGCTTCCGATCCATGCTAGCCCAAAAACTGTCCCAGGGCGCGCCCCTCCACGAGCGGCTGCACCAGAACTTCCAGAGCATGACCTCTGCACTGGACAGCGAGAAGAGGTGCGCGTACGACAAGGAAGTGGGATGGCTGAAGTCCTTGCGTGTGCGGCAGATCGTGGACGAGAATGCCCTGACTGTGCTGAGGAATCAAGGGGCCGAGGGGGCGGGGCTGAGAGCAAGGGCCAAGAGGGGTCTGAGCGCGGGGACTGGGGCCCACTCTGGGTCGGGATACCGGCCGCTGAAGCCGAAGCGCAAGGCCGTCGTGGACAGAGGCACGTCCCCCGTTGATGTCGACGGACCTCCGCCCAAGGGCGCCAGGGTGTTCGACCTTCCTGTGAGGAAAAAATCAGATGCCGATGAGAAAAAAGCGCCAAAAGAAGAGCCCCGATCTCAAGCGAGGAAACAGTCTGAGGTTCCACCCAAAAAGGCGTCAAAAGACGAGCCCCAGCAGCAGGGGGGGGGACAGGCACAGGCGGCAGCGAAAAGCGCGCCGGAAGAGGAGCCCCAGCTGAAGGAGAAGCTGGCCGAGGAGGAGAGGCGGAAGGCGGAGCTGGAGAGGGAGGCGGAGGTCGTGAAGGAGGAAGACGCGGCGGGTGGCAGCGAGGCGGAGGCGGACTCCGTGGAGGACGAGGGGGAGAACGAGGGGGATGAGGAGTCCAGCGGGAGCGCGGGGTGACGTAATCTGCGGAGAGCATGATCCCGGGGATTGGGCGGGTGGGGGATAGCAGGTGCGCTGGCGTCCCGATGAGCAAGCACTGCTTACTAAGCCCTGATTGCTGAACACTGCTCACTGAGCAGGGGTCGTCTGCCGCAGGCCGGGCAGAAAGCGGATGTCAGTGCAAGTTCAGGGCGATCGGTGGGTAGGTTTCCGTCGCAGCTGTTGAGCTGAGGCTTGAAAGTTTGTTAGGGGATTTTTTGAGCACGGGCAGGCAGCGAGCCAGAGACTTGCCCAGACAAAGGGGGGCTGGGAGGCTGGCCTGGGGATCTGATGAGGGTATTATCCAGGCAAATCCAAATTCGTTGGCGGCAGACCCGAATCCGGATAGCGGGGATGTAATTTAGATGCTGGGGTATGGGTGGCCGTGAGGGGCGCGCAGCCAGGGCAGCGCACGGTTGTTGACTGGGGCGCAACGTTTCCTGTCGCGATCGCGACAATTTTGGCGCCTTGACGTGGGGTCCACAGTCCAGGCTTGCGCTTCAGCGCATTTCTGAGTCCCCATCTTCTTTTGTAGGCTCTTGCAGAAAGTTAAGCCAAGAACGACCAATTGGCGCGCTCCGTTGTGCCTGTAACAGCTCGAGCAAAAAAAATGCTCGAGAACCTTGCCGTTTGGCACACACAACGAGAAGTAACGCGCTGCTGGGCACACCAAAAAATGAGCGTTCGGCATTTGGGAATGGAATTGACGGAGAGCCTCTTGGGCGCCTTGACACGCTTTCCGTGGGAAGCGCTGTCGGCACCCTTTCCAAAGGGCTCAGAAAGATTGTGTCCAATTGGACAAGGTGAGTGCTAGGGAAGAGTGCCAAGCACCAGGTTCCTCAATTCAACAGGGTCTTATTCACGACACCATACAAGGCATGTGAGGCGGATGATATTCTTATTCGATGGCATCTCGGGCGATGCAGCGCCAAGCCAATATGTCTCGGGGCGCTGGGAGCCAATGGAATTCGAGTGCCATTCCCGCAACGGCTTGGATTTGTATTCACACATCATTTGACTGAGCAGCGTTGGCAGCAAGGACCCTTCCTGGCCGAAATGGGGAGCTGATGGCCGACTCCTTGCCTTTGCGCATGAAATTCTTCGGCCGAGCTGGCCCGCCTCGCCTGAGTTCATTTTCCTTGCACATCGAATGCATCGGCAGAAAGTTCAAGTCAGTCGTCGCATCGACTCCTGGACACATACCGCAACAGAACAATTCGCCTGCGGCAATTCTTGACTCGCAAATTGGTGGCCTCCACCAGCCCCAGACCAATCATCGAGAGAGAAGTAAACTTTGATTCTCGCACCCAGAGGGCAGCCCGCAGCTCCCCCGCGCTCACCGCACCCAGCACGGCACGGCAGCTCCGATGTCCCAACATCGCGGCACAGTACATTAGCGCCGCCCTGCGCCGGGGGAATATCTGCTCAATCCCCCCTGGCCAGCCAACAACACATAATGTACTAGAAGTTTCGACGCCTTTTCCTGCCCCATCAGCCCCAGGCCCGCCCCCCCGCCCCCCCTTGCCCACCGGCGCCGGGGCCGCGCCTCGGCACCCTCCCCTTCGGACGCTTGCCGAACAAAGCCCTCCAACTTTGCCTTTTTTGGTGCATCACTTCACCCCTTTGCCGTCGGTGTTTGAGCGCAAGGGCATCCCGCTCGCGGCTCGATCGCCCGTGGTCAAGCCGTGGCGTTCCGGCAATCGCCCCGGGGCGTGGCATCAGAATCTGCCGGACTTGCGCTGTGCCGCGATTGGATCTTTGGGTTGGTTTGCGTGTGTTTGGCGTGGGGAAGGAAGGCATGAGGGCCTGGACTCATTGCCGGTGTGTGCGCTCGACCTGACTGCTGGGAGCACGGAAGGGTGGGCAGGGGGCGCACAGGACGGGATTCCGCATCGAAGGAACCCCGCACGGCGCAACAAGGGCCGAAAATCTGGCCTCTGATCTTGAGCGGGGATCTGGAGCGGGCTGAAAGACCCGCAGCGGGTGCGGAGCGCGGCCTGGGCATCTGGAGTTTGGGTGAATTGACGTGCGGGCCGTGATGAGGAATTTGAGGCTGGCGGGGCCGGCTGCCAGGGCGCTGCCCGTGGTGCTGGGCGCGATGGCGGTCTTCGGGGTGGCCAGGATGGGCACGGGCGTGCCGCTGTCGATCTGGGGCCCCGTTTCCGCGGGCGTGTGGTTCGCCTACGCTGCTCTGGCGGGCTGGGACCGCCTGGGCTACGTGGAGCAGCTGGGCGTGTTGTGGGGGGCCGCCAGCGCGTATAGTTTCGTGGCGTTCCTGCACAAGGAGACGTCTTTTCAGGTGAGGGCGGGCACAGGGGTGGGGTTGGGGGTGGGGGTGGGGCCGTTGGATCCTCGTGCGACAAAATGTGGCCCAGGCTCTGCGGGGGACTGCTGGTCCAAATTTGTGGTCGGGCCGGTGCAAGCAGTGCGATTCTGTGCATTTGGGCGGCTTGCCAGCAGCGAGGGCGCTTGCGGGCTGTGTGGGGGGGGCTCAACTTTCCTGCACGTGGCAGCCGGCAAGCAAACTCCTCTGAACTTGAGGCCAGGCATTCGCCTGTCAATCGACGAGTTGGCCAAAGGAGACGGAAAGAAACACAAGAGCAGCCTCTCCAAAGACCCCAGGCTGGAGGGCCTGCCAGTATTCCCTGGCGAATTGCCCCGATGATGGCGTCATCAAATTTTTGCTTTGCCATGGGCTCTGGGAAGCACAACGCAACTGTTCCAGAGCGCAAGAAGCGCGACATCCTTGCTGGTTACGCGGGGAAGTGTGCGCGATGCCGTGGGGAAGCGGTGCAATGGTGTTTCTGTTGTCAAAATGCGAGTTTGGCGCTGGACAAGAGCACCCTGTCGAGGTCCTCTGGTGTGCGTGGTTCAAGCAATCCAATACATGATCGCGGAGTTGTCCTTGTCCACTTCCCAGGGGCACAGGTTCAGTGTCCTTGGGAAATGATGTGAAGCGTCCCTGGGGATTGTAGTGCAAGCTGGTACATAATCGTAGCAGCAAGCCATGGGTGACATATGTTTCGAATTGGCTTATTTAGCACGTTTTGGATCTGCAGTTATCCAGAGGAATATCGTTTCTTCTTGCAGCTACTCACAAAGAAAGGCAAAACATAGCATGGCTTTGTGGAGGGGATAAACATTGTGTGGTATTGACATCGGCATCGACGTCTGTCGTGGTGCGTAAAAGGTGTAAAATATTTGCTCAAGAAATCAGTGTTTCGTTTCTAACAGGCGGGAAGTATGTCACACAATGCCAGCCTTCTAAGCCACAAAGTTCTGATGTCTTGGACTTGTGTGTGCCATGAAATGTGCTGTGGATACTTAGCATGAGAAATGAACAGCAAGGAGCAGAGAGTCGGATGCACAGGAACCATCCACTAAAACAGAGAACATCTTCTCGGGCATGTGCATCATCTGGCTTGTTTTTACCCAAAGAATATGTGGCATGCCATATGGCAGCCAGTGTGTGTTTGCATGTGAAATTAGCAATGGGAGTCACAATGCTGAGGTTCCGGTAATTTTTGCAACTGCAGTTGTGATGGTGCACTTCGCGTTCTCCCTGTCAGCATATGTGCTCCTCTGGTGCAGGCAACAGGCAACCATGATCACAGTACCACCACTAAATCCCAAAATGGATACAGCACTGCTTGGTTTGCGCCACTCCACTTCCCCTCTTCACTGTCCCCGGTTTGCCACTCCACCACTGTACCCCTTGTTTCACCTCTGTGTACAGCTAGCAAAGACAGGGTTCTTTTGTCTCCATTGCCGCAGCAATCGATATGGTGGATTGACATCTGATGCATTTGGGCTTTGTTTTTGCAGGGCTGGGGTGACGTGTACTTCTTTTGCGGGCCCCTGCATGAGTACTGCACCTGTGGCTTCCGATGGAACCTTCTTGGCTGGTGGAAGGCTGTCACTGTTTGGAACTTCTCCATTGCCAGTGCCGTCGGCCTGCAGAAGCTTGCGCTGCAGTTAGGCCTTGGGGGACTGCTGCCCGGTGGGTGTGCAGTGAGTTGCGCCACTGGCTACTAAAGAGCAGGGGGCGATGCATAGTGGTATTGATTTACCTGTGCCATCGGATCTAGCTGTTAAGCAGACAGCATGTCAGCTTATTGGCATCAGAAAATGTGTGTCTTTGTGCCACGCTTGCAGACCTGCAAATCGGTCTGTAATGTGTTGGATGCGCATTTGTTATTTTGGAATAGGGAATGTCCACAATTTTCCGAAGTTCATCCCTTGAATGGATCCAATGTTGTGTATCGTGTGGGTGCAGGCAACTTTAGGGGGGTGGGCACTAGTAGGGCAGTCTTTGTCGCTGTTGTTTTCATACGGCCGTTTTGTGCTGCAAAAGATGGGAGCACATTTGAGAGGTCAGATTCCGCAAGAAGTAAAGGGGGGTCTTTGCCTCCTTAGGAGAGAACGCACGGTGATGCAATGATCCAAGAGGACCTGAAATGTGCCTTCCAAGCCACAAAGGAAGGCTACAACACTTTGTTGTTATTTCCTCAGGAAATATTCGCATTAATGATTCGTTTGGAAAGGGAACTGGTAGTTTCTGAACACTCTGCATTCGTGTGTCTCAGCTGTGGTTTGAAGCAACTTCTATGGAAAACTAAAGGACTCTGTGTTCCTTGCACCTGTGGATCGTGCTGCGCTGATAGGCTAGGCTAATTATAGAGCGGTGTCACAGTGTCTCTGGGCCATCAAGTGTGCAGAGGGGAATTTATCTTGTCACTTGGATCATGCAGTCATCATTGTATGATTATCAAAGCATCATTGGAGCATTGGATCGGTGCAGGTTGTGCATGGTTGTCTGTTTAAGTCTCTTGTTACCATTTGTCATAATGCAAAACTTGCATGGGCACATACATGGCGGTAAAGGGTGATTGTTCTAGAGAATTCTTTGACATGTCCACATGATCCCTTGCGCTGCCCATCTGTTTATTCTGCAAGGAGTGCATAGGACTACTGTAGGGAAGTTGCATTGGTGCCGACAAGAGTTTGCCTGCGGGATTGTGCTGATGGTGTTGGAGGGGTTTGTTGCAGGCGAGGAAGTTGTAACAAAAGACTCGTTCATCAGCGTCTGTTGGCGTTTGGTGCCATACTGGCTCAACAATTGGGAACAGAATTGGGGAACAGAATGCAGTTCGATGCTGTTTGAAGTTCCACGCTTTGCCTTGGAGCTGTTGGTGATCCTTCCTTGCGTTCAGGTGGGGACAGCTCGATGTCTGTCACGCCGTCGTGCACGTCTGTTCTGCTGTTCAATGTCTGTTGAATTCTGCCGCGGTTGTTTGTTGTAGCACTGTCTGCGATGGTGGAGTGCTTATGTCAATTCCTGTTGGATCCAAGCAGTGGGGGATCAGCACACTGTTTTTCCATGTGACTGACTGAGAGGTCTTTATGTGGCACAGCGCATTGGGCATGCAATGCATGTTTGCATGAAGAAAAGCATTCTAGAATTGTATGGTCTGTGGTACACACATGTCCAACTGCATCGCTGAGTCTCAAGTTTTGGCACTCCGAACACAACAGTGTGGATTGGAGACATGTGCATGTCATTTAAACAATGCAACTGCTCTGCTGTACTTTGCCACCTATTTTCATTGCCTTTCTGAGTGAGTCCTTGGTAGAAACAGGTGAGTGCTGTATTGTTAGTGGAATCTTGTTTGCTTGTCTCATCTTTTCTGAGCTGCATATATCCTGAGTCGCTTTGGAGGCGCCACATACTGGAATGTGTAGAGCAAAGGCTTCTGCTCATAACGGTACTCGTTGCAGCTGCAGTGTGTCGTGGGAATCTCAATCTGTTGAGTAAATGGCTTGCATCTGCATCTCCATAGTGGGCTTCCCTTGGGTTTGCAAGTTTTGCTAGTTTTGAGGTATTTTCTTGCACTGGTCCATTTCGGGGAGTTTGTCTCATCAATCCAGTACTGATGGGGCACGCTTTGTGATCTTCCAGATTTTGTGTTCCCGATTGAAGATTCTAGCAGCAGCACAGATCAGGGTGGTTGTACCAGAACAGGAAGCAGGCATGGTTAGCCGGGAAAACATCGCCGCCAACGTCATCAAAGGACATTGGGAGGTGGATCCATCACAACGAAACATGATGAAGAGGCTGAGGTGAGGCGGTGGCCGACCTGTCCATTTTGGCCTTCTGAGACCATCTTGAAGAGTCCTTAAAAGATGCGGATGCGATGCTGTTCTGATTGGTGTCCTCATTTTGAACAACGACAAGTTGTGTTTTGGAGAGATTGGTGGGGATAGCATTGCCCTTCAACTTGTTGCTCCTACTGGATGCTCACTGAATTCCTTTGATTGCATTTGCATGGACAAGGCAGAATGGGCCCTTGGACCTTGTAGGCGATGATGGGCTTGTAAACATCCAGGACGTTTGACCCTCAGTTATGAACTTGCGCTCATCACCAGTTGCGCGCAAGGGTTGAAGTGTGGTGAAGTGCATGGGTTTGGCAACTGTGGTCTGAATGCCTTGGTTGAAACTAGCACTGGGAGCCTGTTGCCTTTGTTACATGCACGTGCACCAAGCCTTCGCTGTGGACATGGTGCACATGATAGAGTTCAATTCATTTTCCCCGTTGCATATCACCTGCAGCTTAGCTTGTTGCATATATCCCACCACATCTTCCTGTCAGGAGGCACATGTGTCCTTTTCTGCACCCCTGTGGCGATGTTTATCCTGAATTCTTCAGCGATGTTCCTGCAGCAAATTGTGTCTGTGAGGCAGTGGTGGTACAGGGCTGAGCATTCAACTGTATTGCTGACACAATGGTTGGTCTTCTGAAGCGCATTTTACTTGCTGTGGCACATTACAGAGGAAGTAGTATTGTTTGGAAATCTTATATCTTTGAGCCTCTTACTCACTGCATATCGATAAATGTAAATATTGCGTACGTGCGATACAGGCAGACTGTATTGTGTGCTGTAGGTAGCTGATCTCTACAATAGGATTAAGAACAGAGACAGAAAGCGCCATTGCCCAACGCTTGCTTGAGAGCTTCCTGTGCCCGGTGCAGGTGCAACATGCGCATCATGGCCTTCATCGTCTGCCTGCTGGTCATGGCAGGCCTCAACTCTCTGTGGGTGCCCCTGCGCCTGGAGCAGGAGTCCCTCAACCATCCCCGCTCTGACATGGCCATTGAGGCAGGGCAAGCATTGGAGTCAGGCTCCAACACCTTTGGCCTCAGGGCGCAGTGCGCCGCATGCCCCGCTGGGTGGCCATTCAAGGTTGCCGACGTGCCGGGCCCAGGGCCGCAATGTATGGACAGCGACGTGGAGTATGTGGAGTCGCTCAAGACAGCCTACCTTGACAAGAGGCAGTGTAGGGACATGGAGATACTGAAGTGGTCGATTAGGAAGCATTCTGTGGAGCTGGGACGCATGAGGGTGCGTGTGATTTGCAGCCACAGACTTTTGGAGCCAACTTTGCCATTCCCAAGCTGAGGATTCCATTGGCGTTCTTGTCAGTTGACTTTGCCCATCTTTGGCTCCTTACCCGACCGGCCTCCAGATGGCTGAGTACTTGGCTACTCGTCAAAACCTGTATTTCAAGACAGTGAAATCCTCATGAGCGACCAGGCTGTGCAACCCCTGATTGTCTTTTTGATCCCGTGCAGGATGAGGATCATCAGCGCATGATACCCCTCATCGAGATCGCGCTCGCCATGATGCGCTTTTCCTGCGAGAAGTTTTTCGTGCTGCTGACCGTCTACGTGAACTACCTGTTGTTCCGGGAGCCACCTCCCTTCGCCAGGACCCTGGTCCTGGTGAACAACGCCTTGTCCATGATCTTCCAGCACGTTGTGCTGTACACGTTCCCTGCCATCTGCTGGGCGTACGGCGCTGGCGTTGTGTTCTCCACATTTGTGTCCCTCATATTCTGGGCAGGCCCCCTGATGGGCGCCTATAGGCACTTCACCAAGGCCTTCATGCTTACGCTCCCCAAGGACCTGTCCCCAGCCATGCCGCACCATGTCGAGCGGATGGGCAACAACTGCGCGATATGCTGGGGCACCCTAAAAGCTGCCGCCTTCAACGGCGCACTCACCAAGTCCGCGGGATCAGCCCTGCCGTGCGGCCATGCCTTCCATGCCGCCTGCCTCACCCAGTGGATGGACCAGTGTCTCGTGCAGCAGCGGGCGCCAAAGTGCCCCATGTGCCAATCTGACATCCAGTATCGTGTCTGCGTGCGGTGGCCCTGGTCTCAATCGCCAGCGCTGCCTGGCACTTCTGGCGCTGGCGGCGCCAATGCCCAGGTGCGGCCTGTGACAGATCAGGGGCCGCAGGCCGAGGCCGAAGGGGGTGATGAGGACTTCTTGTTTGGGGATCCCAACTTGCAGGGCCTGTTGGATGACATGCCGGACATACTTGCTGATGTGGTGGAGGACGAGGGGCATGTGCAGAGGATACTTGGCAGGCACGAGTTTGATGGACTGATCGGGGAGGACGAGTCGGGGGCAAGCGAGGGGGAGGCGAGCGAGGAGGGGGGCGAAGCGGGGGGGGAGGGAGGCGGGTGGGATGCGTGTGATAACGGGGTGGACCTGGCGAGCAGCCCTGATTCGGGGGCCAGCCCCGGGCAGAGCTGCCGCACTTTGGGAGCAGGGGAAGACAGTCAGGGAGGGGACTGGGCGGGGTCTTCGGGAGGCGGTCAGGATGGTATAGGGAGCGAGGATGTGGCATCGCTGTCGGCGTCCTTCCAGCAGCTGCGCTTGAGGGAGGGCCCCTCGGTGTCGAGGAGCTGCATGGGCTTTGGCCAGGATGGATTGGTGGCTTCGGGCTCAGAGCCGCAGTTGAGAAATTCGCCTGTGGAGGGATGCGAAGGGAGCACCACTGGGTATGAGGGCCATGCTGCCGGGGCCGTTTCGGGCAGTGCCCGGGCTGGGGAGGCCCACAGGCCCATGGGGCAGGTGGTGAGCCAGCTGCCGTTGGAGAAGCCGTGGCTGGGGCCTGCCCAGTAGTAGCGGAGCAGCGCGCAAGTGGAACGCAGTCATGCCGTTTTGGAACAGCGTCGCTGGCTGGTTGCATGCTTGGGGCGCCGAGGCCGCTGGATGGGGCGTGTGTGCGCGCGTTGCCATATCTGTGTTTGAGCAGCGCTTATTCAGCTGAGGGGTGTGCTCAGGCACGGTGGGCCTTTGGAGGCCCATTTTGTGCATAATGTATGGGACTGTGGCTCAGGTGGGGTTCTGGGCTGTTGAATTGTTACCAGCCATGGTGCCCGCTGCGCTGTGGTGGGATCGTGTGGGCCAGCGCAGTGGAGAGTTGTTTGGGGCTTCAACCGGCGAGCAGAGGCTTGCAGCGGACGCAGAGCAGCGCTGCTGTTTGTGGATGTGGTGGTTTCTGCAGCCCAGGGAATGAACATGCCAGTGGAAAGGGGATCCAGATGGCTGCAAACAGGCGGCTACTGTAGGAGTGGATCAAAGGCTGTGGGTCGCCACCGGGGCTCTGCGCTTACTCAGATCTAGGGGACGGTCTGTTGTCCTTGTTTGGCATGGGTTAGCTAGGGGGATCGCTTCTCCCAGGTGGGAAGTACAAATTTTAGTTTCACCTGTTCTTCAACACTTTTGGAAACAGCGCGCTCTTGTGCGCTGTCCTCGCTGGCAGGTGTTGGAGCAGCACAAGCACGCGAACAGCCCCACGGCCCAGGGAGTACTCGCAATGGGCGCAATTGTCTGTCCTTGCAGGGCTTGGGACGGGCACAAATTGGAGGCCTGTGGCTCAGAGATGCGCTCTGGAGCCTTATGGCTGCCGTTCGAATTCCGTCGATCAGAATCGCCCAAACGACGAGTGCTGTCCCTGAACCGTGCAATCGATGATGGACGAAAGTGCGCACGCAAGAATAGTCTCGATGTGTTCGCTTGTTTTCCAGGTATACAGCATATCGTTTTCGTGCTTCGATACGTATCGATTTTTCGACGCGTTCAGCGACCAGCGCGCCTTTTTTTTCATGTTGCTGTAACTGACACATTCGCTCGTCCTTGCACATCACGTCGTGTATCTCGTATGCTCTGCGGTCCAAGTGCAAGTATCGCAACCTGGAGGGAACACACTGGGAATGCGCCAACTTCTGCGTTCGAGGAACATGAGAAGCTTCGCTGTGCGGCGACGCCAGCCAGGTCTGGCGTTTTTTGATTCGTGCGATCTTTCAACGGCACAGACGGGGCCGCTGTGTGGACTGCCAAAAGCAGGCGCCTGGACGTGTGAGGGCTGCAGCTCGCTGCGGCACGACATACGAGGGACGCCTTGCAAGAAGCGCAAAACTGTGCCCGCATCGGGGCTGCCCGGGAACAGAAAGATGGAAAGTGGACAAATGACGGACTGGAAAAATGGGAAATGGAAAGCGCGCAGAAATGAAAAAGTGGAAAAGTCGAGAACTGGAAATACGGAGAAATGGAAGAAAGGACGAATAAAATGAAAAGTGGAAAATGAAACGAAGAAATGGAAATTTAGAATGAGGCCGGCCAATTGGCACCCAGGCGCCTCTACCTCGCTGTGGCGCCGGCGAGCGACTCTGCCCGAGGCCGCAAAAGCAACGCGCGCGCAGGGCGATGGGCTGCTGGTTGCGCGCACCGGCGCCTTGAAACTGCGGAAGCCCATCCTTGGCCTGTCCCTGGACGCCCATGGACCCCACCACGGAGCGCCGGTCGTTGCTGGAGGAGATTGAGAACGCGCCGGCCAACAGGGCGCCATCCGAGAAGAGCATCAGGCGATACCTGAGGATCGTGCGCGAACAGAGGACCAGGGAATCTGAGTCAGTGGCCAAATGGGGTGCCGTCCTGCTGAGGTGAAACAGCGCTGGGCGGTTTGGTTTAGACATCGGAAGGACGGGGTCGCTGTGCGCCCATCTTTTTCGCATGCGCCTGGTCTAATTGATGCAGCCCTGGTTCAGGGTAAATGCCGCGAATCGCGCTCCAGTGGGTGTCGTGATTGTTCAAACGATGGCGTGGGGGTTGGAGCTTTGCCTGGAGGCAATCCGCGCGCCAAGGGAGGGGGGCGGAATGGCCGCGCTGCGATCAGACGCGATCGATGTGGCTGGGGCTTGGGGGCGGGAGGTGCTCTTTGGCTGGTCGTTTCTCTGGCAGCAGCGCGCGGCTAGCCAATGGAGGGGAGATTGGCGCATGATGCCGCGTCCACTTGTGGTTAGTCCCACTGGGAACCTGCAAGTTCAGGCGAATGCTTTCCCTAGGAGCCATCACGAAGTCTGGAAGTAGCCAAATGAACCAGCAACTGGGGATGATCGCTGGGTTGCGACAGAACATCTCTCGCCTTGTCTTTTGTGCAAAATTCTCAGCCAGGTTTCCTGTGAGTCTTTTGCCACTAATTAATTAATAAGTCTCTGCGATCAGCGATTTGCGGATTGGGGTCAGCTGGGCTGCTGCCAGCCTGGCTCACAGGAGCCCACATGCAATGAGAAAAGAGCTGCCTTTAGCGCACAGGAGGCAAAGGTACCTGGTGCCACCAAAACGCCTGACTCTGCAAATTGCAGCAACACACAGATTTCGAGCACCCCAAAGCATGTCCAGTTGTGCCTATTGCTCAAAGGCTAGTTGCCGGCATCATTGTGTCCAACGGCAAATTTCTTGGAAGCGACCTCCTTGGAAGCGAGCAGGGCTGTGGGGTTGATTTGAAACATGCTGGGTGCCTTGGGAAGACACAAAGGTGATCCATGGAACCCTTACCAAATACACAAAGCGTGCTATCAGCGAAACAGACAGGTGTGGCAGGGACTTGAGCAACGCTGAGGCAGGCACCTTCATGCTTCCCTTCACAGCGCCCACAACTGTTTGCTGCATACCCAACCCACCGGTCACGGGCTTGTTGTGTCTGTGTGCCAAGATTTGTTTGGAATCCTGGAAAAGAAACAAGATCGCACATGGTAGAAAACCCTCCTGACAAGGGAACAGTGCTTTGCAGTGCTGTAGATGCTGCCAGCAACAGGCTTGAAATCGACAGCAACAGTTATGCACTCTGCCTGGGCTGTGGCTGCGAATGTGCGCGTGTGCCGAGTTTGTGCTTTGTGGATGGCAGGAAGTACAGGAGGGTGTTACCAGAAGAGGAGCTGTGGCTGGTCCAGGAACAAGTGGCAATGGCCGCGCTCGACTGCCATGCATTGTCGGTTGCTGCCACCTGCATGAAGGCCATCTCAAGACAGTTTCCAGACAGTGTCCGCGCCAAGAGGCTGAAGGGCATGTACATGGAAGCCACAGGGAACTTGGATCGCGCAGATGGGATATATGACGAGATACTGGCAACTGACCCCTGCAACGAGATGATCTTGAAAAGGAAGGCCACATGCAAGAAGACCAAGGGGGACATCCCAGGGGCCATCCAGGCCCTGAAGCACTATGTGGACATCTACATGCTGGACAGGGACGCGTGGGAAGAGCTGGCGGGCTTGTACATTAAGCAGCACCTGTTCAAGCAGGCCGCCTTCTGCTTCGAGGAGCTCATCATGCTGGCCCCTAACAGCCTCACCTACAACTTGCGATATGCTGACGTGCTGTACACCATTGGGCAGCAGGCCAACTGGAAGTCTGCACTGTCGTACTACAGCCGGGCCGTGGAGCTGTCGGGAGGGGGTTGTGTACGGGCGCTGTTTGGCGTGTGCTGTTGCCTGTCCAACTTGGACCCCAAGGGCCAGGAGGAAGATGAGGATGAGGAGGGGGGGCGGGCGCTGGGGCCCCTGTCAGCAAAGGCGCTGGTAAAGTGGTACAGCGAAAAATGCCCTGATAAGTTGCCGTACCTGAGGGAGGTGCTCAAGAGCCAAGAGCTCCTGGACTGATTGTATGGATCTGGATAGCGGGGTGGCAGCGGCCTGGAACTCTGCGGCCGTGCCAGGGAACTGGAGCGGAAATGAGTTGTTGAATTGGTGATGTTCACGGATTTTGCTAGCTATGCTCGCATAGTTCAGTGCCCACTGGACTTGGTCGCTGGGCGTCCCAGCCAGTCACCACTCGGGCAGTCAGCAGTGCTGTCATGCTGCCTGATCAGTGCATGGCTGCTGGTTGACAGTACTGACAGTCAGGTAGGCCATTCCTCTGCACTGTGTGCAGCAACTGCACTACAGGACCGCAAATGCGTCACAGAGCCACAGGATGGCAGCTGGCCCATTGCTGCTAAGCACCAGCACGATCCTGCTGGCCCTTTCTTAGCTGACACCCAGCTACAAGACATGCCCTGTGTCAACAATGTAATTCACAAGCTCTCATGGGTTAGCATTGCTTGGGGCATGCAGACTCAGCTGTACCACGTAACATGCTCCGACGCATAGCAGTGACACTTGCTGACATTACAACACACAAGGCGGCAGCTTTATTTTCGTCGATGCAGTCCTCGGAATCCAACGATACAATGCAGGGTTGTTCAGGTGTTTTGGCACCCCTCCACCAGCTTGGGCGCCAGCCACAACTAAGGCGGAATTGGCGTGTTTTTGAGGTGTGACACCGAGGAGTGTCCTGTGCGCGAACGTGCGCCAGGCAGCGCTTTGCTCAAGGGTCAATGCTGTGTTCCTCCTGGCATCGCCAGCAACGGATCCATACACGCTGAGACGTGCTTGTCCGCTTGCCAACCGACGGCGCGTTGCCACCTGACCGGACGCTGGCTGGGAGAGCTCATACCGGTCGCAGCCCTCTTCCCGCTGTCCTTTTCGATGCGCAGCCATGCAATCCAAAGCGGCATGGATGTTCCACACTGGTCAAAAGGCACCGGGTGTTCCCCCCTGTGCGCCCCAAGAAGCCGGCCCGCCCAGGTCTATACCACTGCTTGGCAGCGCAGGACGGTGGACGTAGTTGCCTTGAGGACAACACCGAATCCGACAATAGTGGCACTGCTGCTGCTACCTGCGCCAGTAGAACTACTGGTAGTACTAGTAATACTTCTAGCACTAGTAGGTTGGATCCATTCACTGCCCTTTCCCATGTGGATGAACCGTCTTCCCATGGTCAACATGAATTCTGGAACATTCCGAGGCATTCGCTGGCCAAGAAATGTCAGGACACTTCAGACGAGATCGCAACGGCAGCCGCTAAATGAACATTGGTCACACTGCCGGAGTTTCCCGACATCGCCAGCTTGGTGACAGGGCTTGCTTTGCCATGTTCTTGGCAAAGGTAATCGCAACGGATTTCCACTGCCGGATTTGGAGGGCAGAGCATGCTTGTGTGGGATAATCTTGGCGGGCGCCTCGATTTCCTTGTCGTCCCATTGCAGTCGCGGCTTCAGTTGTTCATGACGATCGCTGGCCTCCATTTCCTTACCATGGTGTACACCTAACACCATTTGTTGTAATTATATTTGTCACATGATAAAGAAATAGCCCTTCCACCAAACTGGCAATGCCTGGCGATGGCCCAAGCACATGTTGGAATCCACAGTGTCCGTTCACGCACACGGCTGACCGGCCCAAGATGCTGCCAACATGATGGGCACGTGCATCATCGTGAGTAACGCGTGGGCAGATTAGCTGCCATCCTTTAGCAAATTCAGCATTAAAAGCCAACAATCATGAGAAACAATAGACTACAACGTGCACATGCCATTGCTACTTCGAAGTACTTTGCAAACAGTGGGTGCTATAGGTGCTTGGGCCACTGGCTGGGGCTCCAAGCGCTGGTGGGACACGTTGTGAAGTACCTTGTAGTTTGCTACTATTTTCTCCTTGTCCTGGTGTGCTCGTGATTTCGGCTGTTCCGTTCCCCTTTCCAGTTCCTCGCGGTGCACATCGTGATCACCATGTATGGTGCATATATATGTACCATACATGCATTCGCCATGCACAACATGTACGCAGAGAAAAAAGAACTTCTAAGTACACAGTCCTCAATGTACACGCACCAGTAGAAAACAGCCTGTTCGCGATGCCAACTGCGATGCCATTTGACACAAATTGATGCCATCACAGCCGCTTTTATGCCATCGCACTCACTGTGACGGCATCAATTTGTGTCAAAATGGCATCGCAGCTGGCATCGCAAACAGGCTGTTTTCTACCAGTGACGGAGCCGCAAAAGAAAGAAGCCCACCAATTTGTCACTCTGTTGCGGGTAGGCAATCGAGATGTTGCGTTGCAAAATTGTGCAAATTCCCTGCGGGATAGTGGAAAATTTGTGCATTTGCAATTGCGAATGATCAAGACCTATGGAATTCCAAATAGCGATTCTCGCATCTTGGAACTTCAGTGTTTCTGGGTCAAAAATGGACCCAATGCTGCACTGCCGCAAAACTAAGGTGTTGCATTGCGGTCTTGTCCCAGCAAGGGTGCAGCGGGAACAGCACCATTTCATTCCATTGCTCATACCGTTTGCTCAGCAGCGTTTGCTCGCCCCAGCCAGAAATTCCCATGACAACTGGGACGAAACTCAGCATTGACTGCATGGCCATCACTTAGCGATAACCATGGGATACGTTCCATAGAATATATTCCAATACCATGGAATATATTCCAATTGAATATGTATTATATTCAATGGTCAGAAAAGTTGACTTCAGCGGCCGCCTGATGTATGTCCAACTTGACGCGATGCACAGACGGCACTGGTTTTACTTGTATGCTATAGGACACTGAACTTATAGCCATAACGGATCCTCCTCCCATTCCAGGCATGAAAACACATATCACCCGGCGCTTGCAAATTTCCTGCTGGCATAAAAATGGTATTGGACAGTTCTTTATCGTGTGTGAATTGTGTTAAATTCCTGAATGTCGTGTCCTCATTGCTCAGAGCGCGTTGAGGGACGTGTGGCGCAATCAGGCGGCCTCAACTGCGTTTTAGGTGCCATTTTGTAGCAAGAATGCCCGGAACACATATGTGCTTCTGTGGTTCCAGCCGTGAAGTATGTGACTTGTGTGTGTGTTTTGTTCTGGAACATTTCTTGAATTGAACTGCTGCAGATACTCATGTTTGAATGACGGCAGGTGGCGCCAGTGCATTGGCCTCCGTACATGCGCCGAAATGCGGTGGTGCCTGCAGCAGCGAGCCCTTCGGTCAAGCGGGGGATCTGGAGATTGACGAGCTGCGAAAATCATCAGCCCTCAACTGCGAGTGAATCAGCGAAGCCTTCACAAAAATCAAACTAGCGCCAAACTCAGGATGTATGAAGTACTGCGACGTCATCATGACCAAAGCTAGGTGACTGGTGTTATTTCACATTCATCGGCAGGTCTCACGCACCCTTCACACACGGATAGATATGACGTGTGAACATTCTTCGAATTGCACATGGCAGGGTGATGAGAAATGGCGGAATCTGCCTTGTATTTCAGGCATCCACTCCTAGCCCTGTCTCGTAACCTCGCAGAGGAATTCAAGGATCTGTGAAAAATGCTCAACACAAGCTCCAGACAGCGTGACAGCGCACTGTGCACATGCACAGTGGGGGCGGCAACGGAGTTTGGGACTTCGTTATGGATTCGCATTGGAAAATTGGTGGCCCCACCAAAATGTCATGCATCCGACGCAGGGCTGGTCTGGATACTTGTGCCCTGAACTATCCGAACAAGGCACTTCGGAGCGTCATCTGCCATTGCTGGAGTTGTGGTCTTTCTTGGCAGTTTCCCAGCATTCTTCTTTGCAATTGGACCCAAAAAGCAAGAAACAAAAAGCACAAGAACAAAAGGAGAATGAGAAACAAAAGCGTGCTCTCCCTGCATTGCCCCGATCTGCGTCTTAGCAATGGGACGCTGACGCCCAAAGGCACGTTTCCTTGGCCGTCACTCCTTGATTGATGCCATCGAGCAGGCATCACCTGTTCCCAAATGCAATCAACGCCCCGTTACTCAAGGGCCCTTCACCCCTACACAGCGGCCACAGCCACCCCGTTCCGCAGGGGTGCTGTTCGGTGCCCCAAGCCCCAGCCAAGGCCAGACGCCCGACCGCAAACCTCCTTGCCGTCCCGGCAAAAAGCGCCAGCCAGCGTCTCCCAATCATGACGGGCACGGACGCCGACGTCCGTGAAGCGGACTATGGGTAAGGCACCGAGAGGCATTGGGGATTTGATTGAAGCATCTGCGCTGTTGGCATCGGGGGCTGTGCCCTTGAGCGTCCTCGCGTCGCCATTCGAGCGGCGGCGGTTGGGTGAATCGGGGAATGGGGGGCCGACATGGGTGGAAGGGGGTGGAGGGGGTTGGAAGGGTTGTTTGTTTTTGCGGTGTCTGTGGTCGCTTGGGGGCCGTTGTGCCGCAGCAGGACTGTGTGAGGAGCCGAAGGGAAGGATTTGGAGCCGGGGTGGGCGCTTCGGAGGGTCTGGGGTGGGAGCGGCTTCCGGCGCCGGGATTGGCGGTCGATGATGGGCGGATCGCGCACGTCTGTGTTTGCGATCTGATCGATTTTGGGACGGCCGGTGCCACGACAACTCGCTTCAAGTTTTGCTCCGGCCAGCTCCAAAAAGGAGGCCCGCAAAATGGCGCTGTTTCTTTTCGCACTTGATCCCTTGGTAGCGGTGTGTGTGTGTTCTCTTATTCGGCTTCACTCCTGATATGCTGGCACCGACCTTGGAAAGGAAGCTGCACCTGTTGCTGCTCTCCCTTTGTGCATTTCGATCCCTTCTGCGGCGGAGATCGCCTTTTTGAGCGGGTGGGAAAGTGGTGCCGCAGGTATGTGCGGAAGGTGTCGGGTCCCGTGGTGGTGGCCACCAAGATGTCCGGGGCAGCCATGTACGAGCTCGTACGGGTGGGCCCGATGCAGCTGATCGGAGAGATCATCCGCCTTGAGGGCGACACGGCGACCATCCAGGTGAGAGGCGCCCCCCAAGGCGTCGCTTGGTCCCTTGATGGGGTCATTTGTGAAAACAGAGCATTCTGGTGAGCTGCTGATGGGCCATATGGTGACATGTTCGTTGGGTCGTTGGCTCTTCGCTGATTCTGCCGGTGCTTTCCCAAGACAAGACCATGTTTCTTGCTGGCACAGGTGTATGAGGAAACGTCAGGACTGACAGTGAATGATCCCGTGCTGAGGACCAAGCAGGTATGTTGAGTGCTGAGTTCCTTGAACATCTTTTGGCTCCACATGGACAACGACCTCCTTCTGCCTCGATTGCGACGATGGGTACAAGAGTGCATAGAGACACGCAAAGAATGTCCAATGATGCATAAAGACATCTTCATGTTATATCGCTGGTTATTGTAAGTCATGCTTTCCACTTCAAACAGCTTGCCCACCGCACCCAGGCTTTGGCTGTCAGAGTTCCGCAGCACCCTATGCATGTTCAGCTAACTGATTTACCATACTACTGTGTCACATATTTATAGATATTGTGTATGCGGTTGTCATACTTCATGCGAGTCCATTGCGCTGCCTTGTGTTAGTTGGCCATCGGCTGAATGTGAATCCAAGTTGGTGGCTGCACTGCAGCCAACAATCACAGCATTTGCCATTCATACTGTGAGGATGGCATGGCTCTCTCTGTGTCGATTGGCAATTGCAAAGCGTATGGACGTGTTGTTGGTGTTCTCTTCACAGTCCTGTGCCACCTGAGAAACTGGGATGGCATGTTTCTTAACGCAGTTGAAAAATGCGGATCTGAATTGCCAAGAAGAAACAGTTCCATGAATGATCCATGCATCACTATCATGTACAGTCTCTGCCACATGAAATACTAATAAGAAGCAAACGAGTGAATGGTTGACATGTTTCATAGTGACGCAGGCTATTCTCTGCCTGAGCATGGAATAAGACATGATTGGATGAGTCGCTGGTGTGGTTCCTGACAGCCACTTTCCATCACTGCAATTTGAAGCCCACTAAGAAACCTCTATGGATGAACGGCTGCTGTGTTTCTTTGTAACATTGATTCATCTGCCCTGCAGCCGCTCTCTGTGGAGCTTGGACCTGGCATCTTGGGCAACATTTTCGACGGTATCCAGAGGCCGCTGAACACCATCGCGAAGCTCACCGGCGATTGCTTTATTCCCAGAGGCATTAACATCCCAGCCCTGGACCACAAGAAGACCTGGGAGTTCCAGTCAGTGGGATTGAAGGTACACACTCCCAGCTTTGTGTGGGCCCTTGTTTTCCAATTTGGAATTCCTTTGGGTTCTATTTGCATTCAAAAAAAGTGCGGCAGCTGCCTGGGACCTTGGAAGCTGGACTCCAGCATCTCAGCTATTGAGTGGACCTGACCTACGACGTCTGTGCCCTTATTTATGGCCCCTGGCGCCCTGTACAACCTGTAGCCTGTTGTTAGGCTATATATATCTGCTTCATTTCCCATGTCCTGCTTGCCGTGCGGCCCGGCTTCTCTGATCAAGCCACAGGTGCCCGCCCCAGATTCATGAATCCCCACCGTCAGATATTCGCTGCTACCAAAGGCTATTGGTCCATTGCCGCGTCAAAGCATGAACGAGTGGCAGTGAACATGGACAGAAGCAGTGTGAGCAGCTTCTGCCATCACCTACGTGGGCAGGCCTTCAGGCCCAGCGGGGCTTGTCTTCAATAGCAGATTCCCGCAGACCTGCTGAAAAGTGGTACCACCAGCCTGAAGCAGAAGGTGCAACATGAGTGATTTGTCGTAATTCGATGAATGTACTATTTGCAGATCTGCGCTATTGCAGTCAACCTGCAGTCAGAACAATAATACTGTATGATGCTTATGTTGCTGACTATTCTCTGCGCTGATCATGTCTGTGATCAAGAGATGTTTATGAAGCATGTGCCTCAAAGGGAAAACATGTGTTAAAGCACCATCATGCTGAGCCTGATGGCTGCAGCTTGTAGCAAATCGGACTTCTAATTTAGGCAAAATTCTCACAGCAGATCCTCCTTTGCTGCCCTCAGGTCGGAGACAGGGTGACAGGTGGAGACATCTATGGGGTGGTTCCAGAGAACACGCTGATAAGTCACAAGATCATGCTGCCACCTGGTGCCCGGGGCACCATCACCTACATCGCACCTGCAGGCGAGTACACCATTGTGGATGACATCATCGAGCTCGAGTTCCAAGGCCAGAAGAAGGTGAGCTGATCCAATTGTTGGCCAGTTGGCTTGACACTTTCAATTGCCCTCAAGATGGCCAATTGAACAAGTGAACCTTTATACCATGTTTTGGAAGAAATGTGCACTTGTTCAATGGGTGACAGTAGGGCGGTGGCAATTGGGTTTATCCAGAATATGACAGTCCATCACCCTTCCGCTTTGGTGGCAGGTGCCCGGCAATGAAACTGTGGGGTGCATTAAGCCGTGGATTGCATTTGCCAAATAAACATGACAACATACTGTGCTTGCACCTGCAAGGCATTGTGAGGAACGGCGGATGTGATGGGTCGATCTGGGGACAGGCAGTAATTCCAGTTGCATCTGTGGTTCGCTGTACCATGGGTGCCTTGCCCTCTTTTGCTATGTTGTGACAGGGCTCAAACCTTGATTGAATGGTTTGGTGTGTTGGGTGTGCTCAATTCATTGTGCATGCTTGTGTTGCACCAATAGTGGTTCACAAGTCATGCGTGATCAAATGTTCCACGCTTGCCTGCAGATGAACCTTTAACGAAGCATAAAAAGAGCAGCGTTGCAGGGTCCTCAGTTGCCTGATCCCTGTTAGCGTATTAATCTATATAAGTGGCTGGGTTGGGACTGCTGTAACCTTGGCATCTGGCTGTGCCCCTTCTAGTCAGGAAACATACTTGTTTGTCACCTTCACACCACGACCTTCATGCCACGAATTGTTCGATGACTCTTGCCTTGGACAGTTCTCAAATGCTGTTGCCTGGACACGATTAAGGTCCAGGAACACACCACCTTATACAATATCATGTTTGTCTTCACCTGTTTGTTGTAAGGACAAATATGTCACAATTTTTGCCATTGAGACACATCCAGGTTTTGTTTCAACACGAGCAGATTGTTTGAATGGATGCTGACCATTATCAGGGCCACAGTCAGCTGTGCTTGGTTGTGCTCTGCACATTGCTATCACCGCGTGGTGGCTTACAGCTTCCTACAGGGTGGAAGATTCATTGCAATGTAAAGAAGAAAATATCGCACAATGGGTGCCCTTCGTTCCCCGTTCCCAAGGAAAAATCATTTGTGAGGATCTTTTCCATGCTGTGAAAGTTAGTGCATAAACATGAATTGCAGTAGGAAAGTGCACAACCACAAACCAGTGCATGTGCACCTACAGTGTACACAGGCAGCCTTTTCTCTTTCTTTGTTTCCAAAACATCAATAATCAACAAACATCAATAATGACCAAACAACAGAATAGTGAAACAAATACCAAAAGCAGGAAACAGTGCTAGGTGCACTCATTAGTTGTTCGTCGCTAAGGCACTTGCACTCTTTTTTTCCTGTCCCTGTGCAGCAATACACGATGAGGCAAATGTGGCCAGTGCGTGCTCCTCGCCCAGTGGCGTCCAAGATGCTTGCAGACTCTCCGTTGCTGACCGGTCAGAGGGTGCTGGATGCATTGTTCCCATCAGTTCGAGGAGGTGCGCCACTCTTGTTCTTTAATTGATCAGCCAAAGAACTGCCTTTGCACCTGTTCTGCAATGCTGGGCTTCCCTTGACTGCATAAGCAGTCAGAAGAATTGGACCACCTGTTTTGGTTGATGTGTGTTTCAGTGGCGGTTGGGCACAGAAAGTGACTCTCCAACCTGTCTTCACGTCTTCACCTTGTGTGATGTCAACCAATGCCCGAGGGTAAAAGGGCTTGACCATGTAGCTGGAGCCATTAATTGGGGGCAGTTTCAACAGCAAGGCTCTTTTGGGTATTGCCGGAAGCCTCATAGCAACCAGAGCAGTGTTCATTCTTTTAACTCAGTGCCCTGGGTCTCCAGAAACGCAGTCAGAAACCCACATGTGAAGCCCATGATGGGGTGACAAGAGCAGGGAGGGTAAAACAGCAACTCAAGAGTAAAAATATATTATGTGGTAAATCATGGTGAAGGAATCTATGGATAATTAGCATTTTTTATTGGAGAGCGTGTGGGAGATATGCCCAGTGCTTATTTGGTGAAAAAGGGAGACGGTGGCAACGGGAACTGGCAGGGTCACATAATGTGCATATATGTCTGGGATTTACTTAGTAATAGTAGCCTTTGCTGCCTGCTTCCCATGCCTGGGGAGCTTATGGCACTGGTTGACAGGGTACATCCGTGCAATATCACAATATTTAATCGAATTTAAGAGGTGAAATTCAACTTGAGGATGTGGCTCGACTGTTACCTGTAGTGTGTGAATGAAGCATGAAGTGTAATGGCGTAGGGACATGTGCCATACCTGGTGGCTTTGGCTGCGGCAAGACTGTGATCTCACAGGCCTTGTCCAAGTACTCAAACTCTGATGGAATCGTATACGTCGGCTGTGGAGAGCGTGGCAATGAAATGGCTGAGGTCCTGATGGACTTCCCACAACTGACGATGACGTTGCCCGATGGGCGTGAAGAGTCCATCATGAAGAGAACCACGCTGGTGAGAACTGCATTCTGCAACCGCCATTTTTGCCTTCTCAAGCCAAAAGAGGATCCTTGGGCTTTTGCAGGCTAGGACATGCTTAACAACACGTAAATGACATGTGTTCCTTGTTGGCTCTTCACTCCACATGTTGTTCTTCATTCCTCATCAGTTTCTGCACCAGTCACCTGCTTGCAGCACGCGCATACGCTCGGGGCCAATCGGGGCAAGTACATCTGCTCAGCCCATAACCTCGTGAAAGTATTGTCGTGTGATTGACAACAAGATGACCTTGTGAGCTTGGCTGCTGAAAAGTGCGTGTTTGAATACATTTTCGGTATATGTCCTTGCAATGCATGTGCAACCAGAAATAGCACACTTTGAGGCAGTTGTTGTGCACTTGGGTACAGGGGACAGGAAGTATGCAGTGTCATGAACCTCGAAATAGAAATGTGGCTCACTGAATCCTGCTGCGCGATACGACATTGCGTTTAAATCTGCAGGCTGCCAGTATATGTGGCTTGTAACATACTGTAACCATTGGACAATAGGGATGGCAGCCACGGTGTTATGGGAGCAATGCTAAAGTCATCCGACTTGCAGTCAACTTTACTGTTGGAAAGAAAGGAGTCGCCAGGCTGTTTGCAGACTCAGCTTGGTCAGACCTGAGCCCGGCCACCTGACAGCACATTTGGATATGTGGCAGGTCGCCAATACGTCCAACATGCCTGTGGCTGCCAGAGAGGCTTCCATCTACACTGGAATCACTTTGGCTGAGTACTTCAGGGACATGGGCTACAACTACTCGATGATGGCAGACTCAACCTCACGATGGGCTGAGGCCCTTCGTGAGATCTCTGGGCGGTTGGCTGAGATGCCTGCCGATTCAGGGTGAGGCTTCGTTAAATATTCTGTGTAGGTTTCTTCTTTATTGGCCGGTGGGCTTTGCAGAATCTTTGATTGCGTTCAGCAAGAATGATAAGCCATAGCACAATGTAACAGAAACTATATGTTGTAACGTAAACCATCTGTTACGGTTCCTGTATTCAATGCCGATTTGCTCGTTCCTTGCCTTTCAGGTACCCTGCCTACCTAGGTGCTCGCCTGGCATCCTTCTATGAGCGGGCGGGCCGTGTGTCTTGTCTGGGATCGCCTAAACGCGAAGGAAGCGTCACAATTGTCGGGGCCGTGTCTCCCCCAGGAGGAGACTTTTCAGATCCTGTCACCTCTGCCACACTGGGCATCGTGCAGGCAAGTTGCCAGAGAATGGTTTGCTTCTGCCTTGATATTGACAGAGAGCAGTGGTGCAGCATTGGCAGATTGCGATGGCCACAGACAAGGACCACAACAAAGTGGATGCTTTCTGTTGAGTGACCAATGCCGTACCAACTTGTAGAGGCATGCACTTTTCCCAGGGTGCCGTTCTCAGCTGCTATTTCAGCACTGCGCCTTTGGCGGTGAAAACTGAAACATTCAGAGCTTGATTGATTGATGGGCTGATGCATGGAGATTATGGACGGGGCGGTCGGTGAACTGAAGACCAAAACCTGGTAGTGAGTTTTTGACTGTTGTTGTTTGGCGCCCAGGTGTTCTGGGGCCTGGACAAGAAGCTGGCGCAGCGCAAGCACTTCCCCTCCGTCAACTGGCTGCTGTCGTACTCCAAGTACGTGAAGGCCCTGGAGCCCTTCTACGACAAAGTCGACCCTGACTTCATTCCCATCAGGACTGTCGCCAGGGAGGTGCTGCAGAAGGAGGACGAGCTGAACGAAATCGTGCAGCTGGTGGGAAAGGACGCCCTGGCTGAGACGGACAAGATCATCCTGGAAACTGCAAGGTGAGGGAAGACATCAGTCGAAGTCTAGTCATAAAGGAATATACGCTGGACAGCCCAGAAGCACAAACGCCTGAAACCCTTGACCGTGACCAGGAATCCCAGCAATGATGTTGAAAGAATCACTCCTAAACATGGGAAAATACTGGATGCATTCAGGTTGTGGGGCAGCACAGTGGGCCTATTCGAAGATGTAAAAGTACAGGATGTGATGCTGGGTGATGTTGACATGGTGCAGCACTGGTCCTGTTTGGTTGGGCCTATTGTGAAGTGTTGGACAAAGGCATGATGCTTTCTGATGTTGCTGCGTCATGCAGAGTGAAGATCAAAATATCTCCGCATTTTAGATATAATATTCTGGATTGCAAAGACCAGGTGAAAAGGCAACAACAACAGCAATGCGCAAACAAACTTGGAAATTTTTGTGTGTGCCGCCAGGTACATCAAAGAGGACTTTTTGCAGCAGAACGCCTTCACCAAGTATGACAAGTACTGCCCATTCTACAAGTCAGTGGGGATGTTGCGGAACATAGTGACTTTCCACAAGTGTGCAACAGGCGCCATCGAGAAGACGGCCGCAGGCAATGCTGAGGGCCAGAAAATCACTTACAACATCATCAGGCAGCGCCTCGGAGATGTCATGTCCAGGATATCAAGCCAGAAATTTGAGGACCCAGGTGAGCAGAATTCCTGTGAATGTGACCGTGCATCTTTCCAGTGTGCTATGTATTGCTCTGTGTGTTTTGCTGTGTGTGCTCTAGTGTGTGCTGTGCTGCTTGGCTTTGTGTTGCAAAGCTCAGACCTTGAGGGACCTCAGTTTATCCCAGTCGATTCCTGCCCAGGATAGAACTAGTGTTGGCCATACACGCCTGACAGATGACTGGAAAGATATCTCGGGCACTCTCCACAGCTGCTAGTGTCTCAGTGGTTCAATTGATGAATGGGGCAACTGAGTGCCACCTGAACTTATTTGGCAGACCTTGTGTGGTACTGACTAGAGCGTGGGGAGCTTTGGGGCAAGGGCACAACAGGTGCCCAGCATTGGGTTTTCAGCGCAGAAAGCATTTTCTGGCCAGTGATGACACATTGCTACAGACATGATTGCCTACAGCATGAATTGTGATCGATAGGCCTGAGGCCAGGCTGTGCTTGCTTCCTTGCCCTGGTGGAAGCCACTTGAGACATGTGGCTGTCAAAGGGCATGCTCAAATCAGGAGTCAACACAGCGAGATTTGTGCTTTTTTTTTGTTTACTGGAATGTCAGTTGACGAATTTGCAGCCCATGCACCCATTTTGTGGCTCTGCGTCCAGCTTGCTTTGGTAGCTACTGGGCTGTGTCAGGAAATGTTCATGTTGCCGTTGAGCTTGTCAGCCCTCTCCTGTGTAGCCTCTGGCCAGCTACAAGCACATTTTGTGTCTACATCCCTAGAGGTTCGATGTGCATGTGGTTGCCTTTATCGAGTCACAATAGTGCCCTTCCATTTTCAGGCTATGCTCGGCACTTGTATGTCCGCAATGCGTTTGGTCCCCATTGGCTTGCAGCTCTCCACTCTTCCGATCTAGGACACAGGGCGATTGTGGTCAAGAGGGTCAGGTTTGGTTCTCGGTTCAGGTTCTTAAGGGCCTAGGGCAGAAACACCAAAGGAAGGAGGAGAAAAAGTAAAAGAACGGCCAAGCAATGCCAGTGTTCACCAGCACGTGAACCGCCCATCCACAAACGCACATGGTCGAGTGCAAGGGCGGGGCCTGTGATTGTCCGTGCTCAAGGGAACCTGATTGTGTCGAAGTCGACTCTGTCGACGAGGCAATGCTCTGAGAACCTGGTTCAGAAATCTGGCGTGTGTTAAAGCCAGCTCTGGGTTGGAGCCTGGGTTCAGTTGCCAGCTGTGTGCGCCTCGTTTCGCAGAGAATGGGGAGGACGCCATCATGGAGAAGTTGACCACCCTGAACGAGGATGTCAAGGAGCGCTTCAGGAGCCTGGAGGAGGAATACCGATGAGCACGCTGCCCAGCACGGTCTCCCAGGCTGCAGCAGAGCTTGGCGCGCTCGGCAGGCGCTTGCAAGCACGCACCAAAGCCTCACGCCTGGTGCAACGGAATGGACACATGTTTTGCAGGGGCCCCCGCACGTGCTCGGATGCAAGGCACGCACAGATTTTTGGAACATTCGCCGCGGTAGCGTAGTATTGTGCTAGTATGCTGCTAGGTCGGAAACGTCCCCGGGGCAGTAGGTGTTGTGTTGGCGTTGTCCAGGACCGTGTTCGCGTTAATTCTTTGTGTGCGACTCGCGCTGGAGGTGGCTTGGGATTGTAACGCCTCCTGCCGTCCATTCCCTTCCTGAACGCTTGCAGACGGGTTTGTCGAGATCTTGGCTGGCTTGTCCGGGCTACATGCAATGCACGTAACCTTGCAGAACGAAGTGGCCCTCTTCCGCTCGTCAGGCGATGTCACCTTTCCTTCCCAACGCGCAGTGACACTGTTATCAAGCCAACCATGAGCATCATGTCTTTGCAGTTCGCTGGAGTTTGTCCCATCAGGTCCTGGGGGCGCCCCACTTGTTCACATGGATGGGCCAATGCCATCTAATCCGCGTTTCACCTTGCTGAAGACGAATTGCTGCATGTGCGTTCAGTAACCCATCCTCTGCAGCAGCACATCTAGGCCTGATATCACTCATCTGGGACTTTGCAACACAGCCCCATTCATATCAAGGGCGAGGTGGGGTTCAACAGATCAAATATTGGACCCAGATCCAATTGTTCATCTTTTGCGGCGCCCAAGAACGGTACCTGTGGTCTCTTGCGAGAAAAGGACGACCTGATTGCCTGCCGACCAAAGCACCATGCAGAACGCCCTGGCTAGCATTGGCGGCCGTTATCCCCTAACAGTCAAACGTGGAGGCATCGAAAAACTCCGACGAGCCGGATTCGAACCAGCGACCTAAGGATTACTGTTCTCCATCTACAGTCCTCCGCTCTGCCAACTGAGCTATCGTCGGGTGACCGTGGAGGGTGTGGTGTTGCAATATGTATAATTACACAATAGACATAGCAGCCATCGATGAACTTTACGTCAATGCAAGGGGTCGGCCTATCAACCGAAAGGAAGGAGTTGAAAAACATCCCCTGGACCAGGGAGCAGAATGTGGTGAAGGCAATTGCCATGGTTCAAGGCTTTCAAGTGGGGACAATGCAGTCATCGGTCAACAATTTGGCTCGCCATTTGCAGCACTGCATCCCGCTCCACGACTTTGAAGGTGGCCAAACTGCCTGCGACCTTCCAAGGGGCTTCCACACCGCCGCCATCGCGCTACCTTTTCTCCGCTTTATGATGAGGTCTCCACCATCCTCCACAGAGGTAAAGACCCTGATGGGAGCGAGCGCCCATGAATGCTCACCCACTCTCCAAGAGAAACTTGCCCAACTGTTTGGGTACTTTTCTTAGGAGATTTGTATTTTCTTTGAGGAGATTTGGCAGGCAATGGGCAACCCGCCTGCCGTTGGAAATGCTGCATGGTTCCCAATGATGGCCGAGATGCACCGAATGGAAGCGGCCGTGAAGGTGAAGGGCACCAAGAGGCCGCAGGCCTCCCAGAAGCGGCCACGGGGGCTGGCAAAGCCCAGCGGCGCGCCCCCATGGCGTGGTGCAAAGTGTGCAGCGCAGACGTGGAGGTGGAGGAGGACTACGCGCAGGGATACTCGTGAGTGGTGTCGACTGCGCCCGCGGGCGGGTTTGTCTCTGCAATGGTCGGCAAAGCGGTTGCCTTGGGGGAATCTGGGCACGAGTCTGCGTATCCACGCAGCTCGTGGGACCTCCGTCGTGCGTGCACCTGGATTAGATGAGAAACTGCGTTTGCTTTTCACGCGGGGGAGTTTTTTTGCCGGCAGCGACCCTCTCGGCCAGGCCATTAACTGATTGGGGCGGGTGAACTTGCTCCTGGAGGAGCGAACCGCGTGCGCGAAATGCGTGCGACGTTCCGGGTGCGGTAGCTTCGACGGCCAAAAGTTAAAGCTACGCTGGGGAGTCCGCCAGGCGGTACAGGGTGTGCCTGCCGTTGCCGTTGCGGAGCATTGGCCGGACGGGCACAGAAATGTGGAGCTGCTTGGCGACCCCGGCAGTCGAAGGCCGTAAATCCGCGGAAGCAAAATGCGTGGGTGCAGCGGCTGGGTGCTGATATCCTGACTGGTCGTTTTCATCTGCCATTTCGCCTTTGGGCTTGGTACATTGGCATTTGGAAGTGCTCTGGCTTTCGCTAGTCGCTGGGTGATTTTGCCATACGCTGCGTTTGCGAAGCAAAACGGGGCCCTTGCGCTTGCAGGCGATGTTCTGCACTTGTGCATCCACGCGTTATCTTTGTTGGTGCACGTCTCCGCGCACCGCTGTTTGGTTGGTGGACGTTTACTCTTGCTGACATGTGTTGACACCAAATGTGCGCACCACCAATGGACAGTGACAGCATTTGTCAGCAAGAGTAAGTGAGCGCTACCCTTCCACCCATGACGCCAGGAACGAAATTCCGCACAGACAACATGTCAGTGGTCTCAACAGGAGCCAACTCCACACAAAGGTCCAAAAGTGAAGCCCTGTCCAAATCGCTAAATATCATTGCCAGCCTTCCTATTGAAGCAGTGGGGCTTTCGCAGCCGTGGCCTCTGCATTCGTTTGAATGTTGTGGTGAAAAAGGATCCAAGTTGAAAACACTGTGTGTGTGTGTGTGTTTGGGATGGACACACTGATTGAGTGAAGGTCAATAGGAAGCCCACGTGATCTGCAATTCCCATCCATCGTTGATGCATTCCACATTATGGAATTGTTTAACTGGCTGGGGATTCGGGCACCAGCAACCTACCAAGAAGGTTTGCTGGCAATATTCGATGTGATGTTTGTATGCAAACATGGAAATGTACATTGTCACCATTCCCTGTGACCGCAAATAGTTCTTTTCACAATCGATTCCCTCTCCTGGGCACGGCATTGCGACTTTCCTTCACTGCAAAAAGCTGAACTGGCTGTGCTAGAGCCAAGGAAAACAACGTGCAACAATGATTCAGGAATGTTGGTGGGCTGCTGGCAGCATCCACAGCCACACGAAAGCCAGTGATGATAGTATGCATCAACCTTACCCAGGCATTTGGCTATAAGATTAGGGCCAGTGGCTGACTGCCCTGCGACATATATTCACAGTGATTCATAATGATCATAAAGTGCAGGGCATTCCTGTCATGGAAACCAGTGCCTGAGTCCCTTTTCCACAGTTTCCAAAACCTGTTTGAGAAGCCAAACAAAAGCACGGACCAAGGACTCAATGACAGGGACCTCAGGTGATGATTTCAAGAAGCTGATTGTAGTGATGGCTACCAGGGAACAATTCTGAGGTTTTGGAAAGACACCTGCCGTCACCCTGGGAGGGATAAGGGCAGTGCTTCAACAAGATTGACGACTGTATTTGGGCGCAATCAAACCAGGATACACTGTGATCTGTGGGCAGTGCTGTGTCCTTATTGACACATTTTCTGTGTTCGATGCAAACTATGCGGGTGCCCTGACGGTGGCCTGTGTTCCTGTCAGGTGCTGTGTCCAGTGTGGAACTGTGCTTGCAGATGCCACTTACGCCACTGACGTCACCTTTGCTGCTGAGGGAGGGGTGGAGGGTCAGCTACTTGCTGAAGAGTCTGTTCGTCACATAGCAGGAGGGGTGAGCACACAGGCCGCTCTGGATATTTGAAGTTTTTAAAATAAACACTCATTGTTCAGAAGATGTTTGATATTTATGAGATGCTGGTGGAGTGCTTTTAAACATTCAAGTTACTGAGCTCTGTTGAGCATCAGAAGACACTTTTTTCCTTCGAGGTATTCAGAGATACCTGCTTGCATGTCTGCTGCATCGAGGTGCACATCGAGGTTCATGGGGTGCTTTGTCCGGTGGTGCGTTTTGAGCACATAAATATCACCTGTTCTCATCGCCTGTTGACATGCTTTGCTGCAGCCTGGCGAAACTTGCTGGACAGTTTTCGTGGGCACAAGGTGCTCGCCTGTCCATGCTGGCTCCTTCGGTGTCCACCAAACTTATTGTAGCAGTATCAGGCTCCTCATGCGTTTGTTAACTGTTTGTCATTGGAGACTGCTTCCGGTGTGACACTGCCTAGTCATCAGAGCTCAGAAGAAACTCTTGCCAAGAACAGCATGTCATTACCACATGGCCTGTAAGGATTCATCGATCCTGGCCGATTGTTCTTTTTTGCCTGGACCACCTGCTTGGCTGTTTTCAGTGTGTTTCAGAGGTGCAATAGGCATGTGGTTACTGTAGTATATTATAATCTTCCGCATTGCGACGTAACGTTTGGACTTTTTATGCGGAGTGATAGTGGAAACATAATGGTGTCAAAAGATGTGGAGCACCCTCAGACGCGACGCAAGTGTCACTGGAGTGCTTGTGGCGTCCACCGGCCCCAGATGCATGACGCATTGTGGCTTAAAACAGGCATTTGAGGCCATGTGAACTGAGCTGAGTCGCTAATCTGGCAGTGGCCACTATGCGGAGCCGCCCAAAACAATGGTCTGTTGAAAAATGCAGAGCACAAATCTTAGCGCTAGAATTCCTAAATGTGGAAGGGTTGAATATACTATGGTGCTGGCCCCACGGAGGGGTTGAGCTCCCTGGTATTGTACCTGTCAGCAGTCCGCTAGCACAGGGCTGAGCCATACAGATCCATGCTGCTGAATTTCTGTGGCATCTGCCTGGCAAAGGTGACAGTGCACTGTGATGTATTGGATTTCATTTTGTGCCCAACTGCAGCTATGGTATTTGGTGGTGTTTGCGCTGCTAATAGGCAGATGCATATTAAAGTGCAGTGATTTTATTCCCAACAGTGCGTGATGTGCATCAACAGACTTGCAGACAGGATCAGTTCTGCTCCTAGGCTGTGCCATTTTATTGTGCCTGCTAACGAGCCCAGTATGGAACCAAACAATATGACCAATCTGATCCTTTAGTCTATTATTTGAAGTGGTTCTGGTATTCACTGTGACCCAGTCTACCAGCATTAGGTGATAACAGTAATACATGGCACCAGAATGTGAAACCTGCTCTCATTGGCATGTTTACCACATGACAAGGTACACTGCTCCTGTACCTTGCAATGGCGGTAGTTGCTGCTCTCCCCCACATTGCTCGCAGTATTAGATTGCCATCTTGCAGACAAACAGCTCTGAGTACCAATGGCCTGGCATTGCCACGTGTGGCACAGGAAGATGCGTTCTCTGGCCAGCAGCATCGAGGTCGAATGGAGATCTCCCTGCTTGTGGACCAGCTCCACATTCGCCCAAGAGAGGACACGATCGAGGCGTCCCTGCGGCTGTACAAGCTGGCAGTGCACAGAGGATTTCTTCGGGGCAGACGGGCAGCGCAAGTACGCCACTGAATGAATGGTTTGTGATGTTCAATGTGGCGAAACATGGCAGTCTTGTCATGTTCCAAATCTGTGCAGTATGATGGACAGCAAGCACTACTGTTTAATCATGCTGCCTCAGGTGCCAACGAGTATCACGTACTTGGCTACAGTGGGGTTGCACATCGTGTGACCTGCTTTTGTGTGTACGGACTAGAACCCTTGTGGTTTGTGCATCGCAGGTGGCAGCTTCATGCATTTACATAATCTGTCGACAGGACAAGAAGCCTTTCCTGCTCATTGACTTTTCTGACGCCTTGCGCATCAACCTTTTTGTCCTTGGAGCAGTGTTTCTGGAGCTCTGCGTATTGTTCAGCTTGGATGACCACCCAATCATGACAAGGTACGTGCCAGCACAGATAGGCAGGATACAATATAGGGGACCTGGCCATGGACAGGCTGACTTCCTTTCTACCACCTTGATTTCATTAGACAAACAGGGACACTAAATCCTGAGGGCGATGGGTGGTTGCTTTGAAAGGTGGTGTGGAAGTTCTCTGAAGGCAGCGTGAAAATACGAAGTGCTGTGCAGAATGCATGGGAATACAACATGCAGTGGTGGTGACAATCGGACACACAGACGTGCCTGGCAGAGTGGCGCTCTTTGCCTGCCTTGCCTTCCATGTGATTGGAAGCTGGGTGTGGGTTGTTGTTGTTGAATAAATTCCATGAGCATCAACACAAGGAAATGTCCTGCTGGATTCCTATGGCAGTACATCTCTGATTATGGCCACAGGCTCAAAGTTTCCACCTTGTGAGTGTTGTTCTTCTTTTCTTGTTGTCGCAAGAATTCATTGTTGTGCCTCTGTCCTGCAAGGATACCAACAAGCCCTGTTCAAGTATTAGTACCTGAAATCGAGCTGCAGCCGCCTCAGCTAAACCAAAGGAAAAAGGGAAAATGCTTATGCTCACAGAGGGTACACAAGGGTTTGTGCATTATTATTGTGGTGGTGCCAGTTGTTGATCAGCTTACACGGAGCAACAACACTAGAAGTGTTGTCTTTCATCCTGGACACAAGTCCACCATCTCGAAATACGATGTTGTTTGCATCGACCCTGGGTGTGGAAACATCATGTTGGTGCTAGTCAGGTTGCATAGGTGTCCACACAGAAAGCGCCGGGCACAGTCATGTCCTCCAACTCCAAATACGCTGCATGCCCATGCCCCAACTAGATTGTGGAAGTGTTTAGGCATGCTAATGTACTGAGCTGAGAGTCTTGCTGTTGTTGCAGCCCTGTGGACCCCAGTCTGTACATTCATCGCTACGCTGACAAACTGCGGTTGGGCGCCAAGATGCAGGCTGTGGTGAACACCTCCCTGCACCTGACGAAGAGCATGAAGAGAGACTGGATGCAGACGGGCAGGCGGCCCTCGGGTGTGTGCGGGGCGGGCCTCTGGCTGGCGTGCCACATCCATGGTAAGTAGAACACCACATTGCCGATGTCACCCTATCTGTCTTGCATCTTTGTTCAGGTCCCGAAGCATTGAAATGCACTTGAAAGATTGTATTCCATCTCTGTCTTGACAAGAAGTACAGTATAACAGGGTGCTCTGCCAGCTTGTAAGCAAGTGAAGGCCAAGTAAGACTCCCAAAGGTTTGGCTGTATATTAGCAATGCAAGAACTTGAGAAGAATGTTAGTAATTGATCCCGAGGTGGTTCCCTACCAGAGCAATCTCAAGAAAAGTTACACAAGTGTGTTACGCTTAGTACTCTAGTGAACAGTGGCACAAGAAACGATCCATGGGTCCAGGATGCTGAGTGTGCATTCCACATGTTCATCCAGTATTTGAATTCAGTATCTACTTGAATCAACGCCGTATGCTCGCCACTACGGGTGAATCCAGTCAACATTGGGAAAAAGTACAATTTCTTTGAACTAATCCCAGTCAACTCTGCACATCGTCAGCTCCCCAGACCTTATGTGCCAGTCTGTGTGGAGTTGCAGCCATGCACACCACTCACAAATGTTTTGCGCGAACCATGAACCTGGACTCACAAGAAAGGTCCTTGGCCATTCAGACGACCCAGGGATGGTAATGGCAACTGGAGGTTCTTTGTTGTCACTGATCGGATTACAGCAACTTAAGAAACTTGAAACTGTTATGTTTCTGGCCTATGCACATTCGCTAGCTGCGAATACGATCAATGTCTCTTCCAGGCTTGTGCCCATCTGAAGCCTAAGAATTTGCCCAGCACCTGGAAGTGCAGTTATTTGTGATGTTTTGGAATTGCAGTGAATTGCCTTTTCGCAGTAACAATTGCGTCTTGCAATGCCCAACATCGCCTGTCACAGGCACTGGCATTGCTCCCTCAAATTTATTGCAGTGAGCAAATGTCCTCTGACAGGTGACAGCAGGGTTGGCCATGTTGTACATGTAACATTCTAATCCTGCATTCATTCTGTTCATTCAGTCTGGTTGACCAAAAGAGCCCCAAGATCTTCTGGGCTCTTGATCTGTACTCTTGATGCACCTAACTGGTGACAGTGTGCCTGTTTGTGTTGTCACACATTCAGGTTGCCCCCGCACAAAGAGGGAAATCGTCCGCATCGTTCATGTTGGCATTATGACCGTTGCCCGCAGACTGGATGAGTTCTCAGTCACCAAGTCTGGCACGATGAAGCCGCAAGAGTTCGAAGCAACAGTGGCACAGATGGACCAGGAGGAGCGGCGTGTGCTGGAGAGCATGCAGCCTAAGACGCCAGCAGAACAGAATGATGAGCACTGCTGCCTCCACATACGTGCGTGCCCTCTGTTGTTCAGGCTTGAGTTTGTGTTAGCCAAAAGGGAAGAAAACACACCATTTAGACCTCTAAGGGGAATACACATAGTGCCTATTTTGTTCATCAGAGATGTGTGCCACTGCTCAACTCATGTTCCACAAACTGGGCTCATGGCAGGGCAGGCCAGTCAGATGGGTGCACAATGCTGTTCTTTTCCTTTTCATGGTAATCTGTGTTGTTTCCCCTATGTTGCACTCAGAGAATTTGACATCATTGACAGTGTGGAATGGGTCTGCAACCTCAATATCCATTCCCTGAGATTTCCCAGATGTTGTCCAATTGCACCTCTTGCTATACGAAAGAGGAAGGAGAGGCCCTACTGTGGACCAAAACGCACATACTGTGACACAGCACACCGCTCAGAGTTTGTAGAATTGATTGCAGATCAGATCTTGGCCTTAGCTGTAGCTGTTGGTGTCATATCACCTGGAGTATCTGCGCCGGCGAATGTCGTGAGCCCTATACCCTTGCAACACAACTCCAGTACGGGTTTCGTGATTTGGTGTGGATCGATTGCCCTCACAGGGGATGGCCAGGCACATTTTGCACAAGGAATGTGCCGGGAGTGCTACATGAACTACGTTGCCATGTCGGGAGGATTGCCTAGTGATGGTGCGGCAGACCCTCCAGCATACACGCGGTAAGAGTCAGCCTTCTTTGGTCGCATTTCAGAAATTGATGGAACACTCCACCTTTGCAACTTCAAGCTGACAATGGGCAGTTTTTGAACTCTTAAATTATGCCCCCAAACAGTATCTGCCTCACTTTCATCTTGCCATCGAATCCAAAGTAGCAATGTGGATTTGTATCTGCCCATGTGGGCCCTGTCAGCTGGTTGTGTTGTCACAAAAGGCCGCCATCAGGGCTCTGTTTCTGGAGCCACTGGCGATTGCTTTATCACTTGACTTCTCATTCTTTATGGCATGCCTGCCAGCCTTCTCGGTTCCTGTCTCAGCGACTATTAAATCGTTGTTTCCCACTGCCCTCCAACAAGTTGCCTAATCATAAGTCCACTCCAGAGCCAGAAAGGATGAGATGGAAGGAACCTACCACTGTCAGCACATCACCTAGCAAGGACATGTGTGCAGATTTCTACCCCTGCTGCTGCCTGCAGTTTTGGTAATGCCAGTGCTTTGGAAATGGTGTCAGTTATCAGCACTTCACTATACTGTATTGCACTGTGCTGTACACTGGACATGTTATACTATGCACGTTGTGCACATTATACTACACTATACTATACTGCAATGTGCTCTACCATACTGTAAAGTACACTGTACACCCACAGCTCACCTTGTGTGCTCTGTGTCTACACTGTGCTGTTCTGTTGGAAACAGTGATGAGAGTTATATGCAGCACTTGGCTTTATGCTGCTTCTTGCAGATTGTGTGGATAATGGTTTTGGATTTTCTTCCGTACGCCCGGGATTGGGGTGCTGTGGACGGTTGTCTGCCCCTTGCTGTCACACTCAATTTTGACTGGTGCACCTGTTTATATGTGCCTGTGATGTCATGCTCCAAGAAGCTTGCAGCACTCCTGCGATTCCGTTGTGCCCGGTGCCTTCCTTCTCTGACCTTTAGGCCGAGGGGAACGGCTTGACGCGTTCCGCGCCCAGGAGGGGAACCCGATGTCTTGATGGTGTCTAAGTTGTAAGAATATTCGGCGTTGGGTTCCTCAGGGGTCTGATTCGAAAACGAAAGAGGAGAGGTGTGAAAGGAGGTGTGAAAAAGGTCCTAAAGATGCTGCGCCTTGGCGACGAGGAAGAGGAGGAGATGGACGACCTGGACACCCAAGAACGTGAGAACGAATGAGCTGGCCCAGGCGCACATTGTTGCGATGCCTTGTGTGGCCATGTTCTACAGCCTGCTTCCTTTTTGGCCAATAGAAATGACAGGAAGATGGGCACGTTCCCCACCACGGTGCTTGTTCCTATATTGTGTAGGTTTCCCAACTTGCTACCAGCCAACCACAAGCTGACAGTTGGCCATGCTGTCTAACTTGGAACAGTATGCTGACAGCCACTCGGAACCAACTTTGTCCCAATCTGCACATTAATTGCTTTGCTCAACAATTTGATTCGGTGCTCTACAGTTGTTTTAAATGGACATGATGAACAAATATCTGCAAGCATGTGCTTCCCCAGAGTTGTCTGCCTCATCTGCGATCAGGACCAAATAGACACAGGGGAATCATGCCACCTAACATCTGCTGCCTTGCTGCATTGATAGCTGCCCAGGTTAAGGCCGACATGGAAGCGATCTTGCAGCAAGGGGAACTGCACCAAATGGCCAGCGAGATGCCAGAAGACCCCCCCGAGGCGATACCAGGTGCAGACGTGCTGGGGTACGTGGAGCCCTCTGGGGAGGTGCCCACAGTTTCCCACACCCAACTGAGTGACAGCGAGGTGGGCGACCTGGCAGGCCAGAATCTGTCGTGCGTGGAAAGGGCAGTGGCCAATCTGGCAGGGCAATCTGTGGGAGCCGAGAGCGCGGCGATCACAGGTGGGTGGGGTTGCGGAGCGCTTTGTTGCAAAATTTCGCACCAATTATTGTTGTCACAGTACCAAGCTGGCGCACAATACCTTTTTGGCAAGAATGGGGACGACAAGCAGAGCGCCGTCACGGCAGGTCGACACACTCAAACCAACCCCACCCAGCCAACGTACGCTGAGGCAAGAAATGGCTATATGCGTGCAAAATCATTGTACAATTACAATTGCATGTTGGCTTCCAGTTATGTCAAAAATGATAGTGCCTCATTGCAAGACAGCTAACTGCCCATGGGTTGGACTGGACTGGACCTCTGGGACCTCTGGGACGATGGTCAGGCTGACTGGACGATCTGGAAGGGCACTGAGATTCTGAACCTGTGGTGGGGTGTCAGTTATTTTGATTGATTGAGCTCCATCGAATTTCAAAGTACACTTGCAGCTCATTTGGATGCCCTTGCTGACATATGATAAGTACTCCCCTTGCACTCTCAATGCTGGAAGGGGAGTAACTGCATACACATTCTTTGTTCCAGCATTTCGGTTTGTTTCTTCTCTCTAGGAAAATCACCTGTGGGCTGTAACGTTGGGTACCTATTTTCGTTGTTTTAGTTAATTGGTGTTGCGTTCGCCAGAATGGTGTACACAGCAACTGTGAGTGGCTTGCTTTGAGGCACATGAGTGGAATGTGAACCGCATGGATTTCCTGGACTAGAAGCGGGGTATGAGAGTAGAGCAAACCAGCAAGGTGCTATCATGAGGTCTCCATTGTCCTGACAGTTCTCAGGATCCCAGCACCCATTTGCTTGACTGGAGGTGAATGTGGGCACATGTGAACTAGAGACGCCTTGTCCTTATTACCTACGGCCCTCACAGACCTCCAGTGAGTGCAGGCAAGGATATCCATTGTGCATTTCATAAGATAACCCTAACAAACTTTGGGACACCACTGCCTGAGGGTTCCTGTTCCAAATCCTGTGTGATAAAAGAGGTGGACAGGTGACAGCTGTGCATGCAATGCGATGATTGGTTTTGGTCAATCAGGGGAGAATCGACACTTCGAGTATCGATCCCATCCTAGCTGATCCCCAATTCGTTCCACAACCTGGAACTCATTCCCTGAATGGGACCCACGTGGAGCCAGCAGTGGTGTTCGAGTCTGAATTTCCTTAATGTGTTTTGATCCAAGGCCAGGACCTATGCACATGATTTGCAGCACAGTGCAAGTGTCATGATCCCCCTGTGTTCTTTGCCACCTTAAGGCTGCGATCCGCTGCCTCAACCCGGAGATGCTGTCACCTCGTCCCTTGCTGCCCAGCAGCATGGTCATCGAGATGACGTGTCCTACACTGGGCTGGACGATGATATGGGCCCGGATGGCTTTGACGACCCGCTGGACGTGTTGGAGCCCCTGGACCCCGAGGTGCTGGATGGCCTTGTGGAAGATGAAGGCCTGGTGCGCAAGGGGGGTGAGGGGGATGGGGGTGGTGAAGTGGACACGTTGTCAGACGTTGATGAAGAGGACTTGGTGGGGTACATTCGAACAGAGGAGGAAGCAAGGCTGAAGGCAAGGGTGTGGAACGAGATGTTCAGGTCGGTGCCAAGGGGAGGGGATCCATGTTGCACGCCTCCTGAGAGAAATGTGGTTGAGATGGTTTTCAATCTCATCAGTCCATGGTCAAAAATGATGCAAAAGTCTGCAAGGGCAATGCGAAAGGACACTGCACAAAGCCGCACAACATGGCAGAAGACATGCACCTAAGGGGGGCTGTTTCTGCAGTTTAGAGTGTGATTTTAGTTTGATTGCTTGGTCTATCCCAGTTTATTTAGTTTACAGCATCATGTGGGATGGGGCAGTGGTGCGATTGGCTAGTAATTTCAGCTTCCAGTATTCAGAAGCATGGTATGGAATAGGGAACGTTGCCCACGCATCCAATTGTACTGGCTCTGCATGGCATTGCAAACAAGATCGCTGCCTTTGTTTGCAGCTCATCGACTTTTGGTCTCTTGCAAACAGCTTTTGTTGCAACCCAGTAATAGTGCAGTTAGCACATCTGAAGGGTGCAGCTTGCATGGCACATTGCACAGCCTGGAGGTTTGGGTTAGCGCAGCATTGTGTTAGTTTGCTTGTTTTGGCTTGCAGAGCTCTGAAGCAGGATCTTGTGAGATGTGTGTCCTGCATGGTGAGCAGGGCATGTCACTCTGGTACAAGCCCCAGTGTTGTTGGTGTCACTGGCACGTTTGGGTTGTGATCACATCTCATGCCTTGTGGCTGTGTGCTCAAATTTTGTCTTCATTGCTGCTAACATAAACTCAGCCAAATTAAAGTGAACAAGCTGAGCTGGCACTCCTACAAAGCTAAAATACTGCAACCCGAAGTCTCTAAGTCCCCAAATGCCCTGTCTGAGACCCACGGGGCTGTACCAGGCTCTGGCCAGGGATGTACACTTGGCCTCTGCAGTGATTCAAAGGCCTTCCAGGCCAACCTGCTGCCGGCACAATACTTTATGCATGCAGACGGCTGTGGCACACTCCCAGTGCGTTATCCTGCCTCTGTGGCCTTCAGGGAATACCTTGAGGAAAAGGCTTTCAAGGACGCAACTCGCGAAAAGGAGGGCGAGGTCGCTGACCAGGGGGAGCAGGAGCCGCAGAAGAAGAAACGCAGGGGCCGGAAGAAGAAGGACAAGAACGGTGCGCCCGCTGCGACTGCACTGGAGGCAGTGAGGGGAGAGCTGGAAGCACGAGGGCTGAGCAAGAAGCTGAACTACAGCAATCTGGAGGCGCTGTTTGACGAGGAAGGAATGGGCCAGTCCAGCCAGGCAGGCACAGATGTGCGGCCGAGGGACGACAGTCGATGGAGGCATGGGGAGCAGGTGAGGCCAAGTGTCGGCTTGCAGCTTGCACAGCCTGTGACTCAGCTTGTGTACGATCATGTGTGAGAAATTCGGCCATGTGGAATTGAGCTGGCATCTGAGGGCTGTGCATGTGACCGGCACAGGCAGAAGGGTCACAGCACCAGAGGCGGGGCCTTCAAGGTTTTCAGAGGGCAGCGCAGGGCGAGTTCTTGTTGCACTTATCATCGCGAAGGCAAGCCTCAGAGAGAACACCGAAGAAGAGGCTGCTTGGGTTGAAATGATAATTGTGAAGTGGGATTCAGTTAGCAGTTTTGCACCTTGCTTGCTCGCAGTAATCCAAGGTGTTGTAGACAGTGACAGCGAACATAATGGCTTTTGTTTGTTGCTGTTGTTATGATAGATGATAGCATAGGCAGAGATTAGTTGCGTGTAGATTAGACCCAAGTGGACCATATGGAGGGCAAATTGTCTTTCAGGAGACTGACTGAGAAGTGGAAAACTCAGCGCAGGAGGGTATACGACTGCAGGTAAAACTGATGTGGGTGCTAACCACATCTTATGGCAAGCGCACGCTGTGTGAATTGACAGGTCGGCATACTGGTTTCGCACACATGTGGTGATTTCTTTGTACTTGATCATCTCCCAGTTCCCAATGGGCCGCACTTCCACAAGCGTTTGATCGCTTACAGGCCCTGGTTTTGAGGTCAGTGCCAGAAATGGCGATAGTACCTACTGTATGCTTCCGTTCATTTCCACTGTGAACATGTGTGCCTCAGAACCAAGCCTCCAGCACACATGTCACTTTGGAAGGAATGCAATGCAGGGCAGTTCTAATCATTGATTTGTCCCTTTTGTACTCAACGTGCCATTTGCTGTATGCCACTTTACATATATGAAATTTACCACCTACATTGTGACAAGGAAACAGTCCAAACAGGACACTCGACGAAAAGGTGGCAACAATCGCTGTGAGAGGACTGTTGTTCTCTAGGATGGTGCAGGGCTGTTGTGCAACGTGCATTTGCCAGTCACATTTGGGTTGCATCGTCTCAACCACCACAGTCATTGTTTCCCGCCACGTGTTTCAAATTCAAAAACCTGGCTGTGCCTGGCGTTTGATGTGCAAAATGTCCTGCTTCTGGGCTTGGTAACTCCACACCTGTTCATCAGAGTGGCCAAGATAACAAACTACTATGGAGTTGGCAAGCCCATAATAGTGGCAGTGCAGATTCAACAACATCGGGTGCCAAGGGGTGAGTGCTGTCTGCTTGAAGGGATCTTCTCCCAGCCTGAATCGAGCATGCAATCGCCAAGCTATTTACAGACATTTCTTCCTTGATGTTCATCAATTTAATGCAAGGAACAGCACACATCAGAGCAGCGTGGCCATCAGCATCGCCGTTCCAAAAGGTGCCGGTTGAGTGCCTATCCAGCCATTGCATTATGTGTCACGAGTTGAACCAGAATGCCAAGCCCAAGCGCTTTGTGTCGCATGTAAAGAGCGAGGCAAGCAATGTGGCGGTGCCTGGGCTCCCTTTAAACGGGGAGACTCCCCAGTGACCATGCTCAGGCCCGCCAAGGACACCCGTTCGACACCAAGGCTCTACTCCCCTTGAAAATGTGCACAATGTACACCGATCCCATAGATACATTCAGAGGCAGTCAGTGGACAAACAAGTCTCAAACTGTCAGTGGGCCAAGTGCCGTGCAAACGTTGCAGCTGTCACTCCAGAGGACGCCCTGGACAACGTCTTTCCAGTCAGAAACTCTGCGGCTGGCCCTGAGCCCCATAAAGAATAAGGAGCTGAGAATTTGACAACAATGACAGTAAGGAAAAGCGGAAACAACGAAAGCCAATGCCTGCAAAAACAAACTGAAAGCATTTAAAATCCTCTTTCAAGAAAGAAGCCAGTCTTCTTTCACACAGATGTTGCTCACAACGCGATGAAGACCTCCCCCTCCCCCCGAGGGTGTACGGATTGTATGCAGCACTGCCTAAGAACCCTCCGCACACACCTTCCAACAAACAGCACCTGTCGCGGCACAAAATTAGTCCTTCAGCCCACCCCGCCTCCAGCGTGTTGTGGCATTCTCCCCCTCTCCATCACCACAAATCGCATCTCGGTCTCCCCTCTCTATACCCCCTCGGCCTCAAGCCCCCTCCAGCCGCGCCACGGCCCCCCACAACTTTCCCCCGCACAACCGACAGGGGCCAAAAGTGGCAGACTTTTGAGGCCAACGCTTTTGAGGACAGCGCCGGCCTCAGCAGGGTCGGCGACGCCCTGCAGGCTGACCGAGGACAGCCGTTGGCCGTGGGCAGTTGCGATCGCCCGAGGCGCATCGCGGACGCCCGTTTGGGCGGTGGGCTTCTCGCGCAGGATTGACCCCGGCCGAGGCGCGGCGGCCCCGCGCGGGGAGGGGGGCGGCAGCACGAAGGTGGCGTCGGCTCATCGATCCTGAGGCTTGAGCGAGGCTCTGAAGCGGCAGAGACCAGCACCGGGCCGGTATTGTCGAGGCGCGTGGAGAAGATTGAATCAGTCCCGTCAGCGAGTAGAATCCCATCGAGTGGGGACAAATCTCGGGGCTGCGAGTGCGCTTGACTTGGCCAGGGGGTGGCGCATCGGCTCGCTGGTCGGCGGGGTGTGAAGGGTGGCGGGCGAGGCGCTGAGGCGGCAAAGGCCAGTGGGCAGGATCCTCGAGAGGCAAGGAGAGGATTGACGCAGTCGGGCGGCAATCTCGGCGAGCAGCGGCAATTCTCGGGGACTGTGACGGGCCAGGGTGCGGCGCATCGGCGCCGTGAGCGGCGGGGCGCCGAGGGGAGTGGGCGAGGCGGGTGATGGACGAGGACAACGGTCAAGGGCACCGCGAGGGGGCCAAGAGGGGGGGGGATGCACCCCAGGTGGAGCTGCTGCTCAGGAACCCCAATCCCAACAAGGCTGGCGACCTGAGCCTAACCGTGGGGCGGGACGTGACCGTCGCGGAGCTCAAGGACCTGATCTGCGAGCGCTACGAGGGCCACCCGGCGCCCAGCGAGCAGGTGCTCATCCACGCTGGGCGGGTGTTGAAGGAGGCCGGGGCGCCTATGGGTGAGGTGCTGAGGAATGCGGAGGGCCCAGGGCCGCACAGTCTGCACCTCGTGGTGCAGGGGGATAGTATGGCGCCGCGGCCCAGGCGGGTTGGCGGGGAATCGAGGGCGGAGAGGGGGCGATCGGGGAGCGAGCCAGGCAGACAGGGGGGCGATGCGGCCAGCGGGGGCACCCAGGGGGGGCCAGCGGCCGGAGTGGGGGTGGATGGATCGCGGGGTGGCGCGTACGGCGGCACGCAGATCGCCATGGTGCCGTCGGGGGCAGTGGCGCTCCCGTGCATGATGATGTCGCCCGTGGTGACGGCGGCGTACAACGCCGCCATGGCGACCATGTCGGGGTCGGCGGCGGAGGGGGGCGGGCAGCGGGGGGATGGGGCGCCCGGGGAGCAGGCGCCCCCCCCGCAGGTCCCGAGGTTCATGTTGCCTGGGCAGGGGCCGACTTTCCCAGGGGGGGCTGGGGTAGGATCGCTGCCGCAGAGGCTGCCTGGCCAGCCGGAGTGCCAGGGGCAACAACCAGCAGCCTCTGGCCTTCCTGTGCAGGCGAATCTGCATGGCATTGCTGCTGGAGCACCGCTCATACCGGCCATCGCATTCTTCCCTCTGGGGGTGCCCATCCTGGTGCCGTCCCCAGCCCCCATGCAACAGGAGCAGCAGCAGTTTGAGCCCCCTGCCAACATGCGCTACATCCAGCTGCCAGGCAACCGCGTGGTGGGGGTCGCTGCCAATGAGGCCCAGCAGCCAAGGGCGCCCCAGAACCTCCACCAGCACCATGCGCCGTTGGCTAACCGGGGGGCGCGCAGGCGGCGGGTGCTGATGTTCAGGATCAGCATACGCGGCCTGCTGCAGCTTGTGCTCATCCTGACGTTTCTCTACAACTACTGCACCAAAAGTCGATTTTTCCTTCTGGTCGGGCTCTTCGTTCTGCTGTACCTGCTGGCGGGACCCCTCCGGTGGCTGCTCTCTCAAGTGTCCCGAACCGCCGCCAGCAACCAGCCTGCCAGCCCCAGGGACCAGAACCCGGCGCAGCACCAGAATCGACCCCGGAGCTTTGTCATGGAGGTCCTGATGCTTGTGGTCGGCTTTGTCACATCGCTGCTGCCCACTTGGAACATCAATGCACAGGACGAGGCGGCCTTTGCAGCCGCGCAGGAGATGGTGGGGAGGGAGGGGGAGCGGGAGGGGGCCAACAATGCCAACAATGGTGAAGGGAATAGGAACGAGGGCCCACCGGATCAACGGTGGGAGCAGGGCAATGCAGAGGCAGAGCATCGGCATCAAGACTAGGAGGCAGACTGCATGGATGCATGTATGCATAGGAAGGAGCAGGCTGGGTAGTGTTGTTTGAGATGCCGTCAGGGCATAGCTGGTGAGCTGGAGTGTGGTTTGATGGCAGCCAACCAACGCTTGGGCCACTCTGGAGGCCACTCTCCTGGTGAAGAAGACGTGGTTTGTAGGCATGAGTGGGCAGCCATCTGAATCTTTGGTTGTTGGATGCCCTTGAAACGAGGCCACAGGAATGTGGTGGCTGGTATATGGCTGCAGACTCTGGGATGGCTCAGCTGTTGACAGCATGGAGGCACCAACCATTGTACACCAGCTGGGAGGCAGCAGGTCACCCAGGCATCCAAGACAGAATCAAGGCAACGTACATTGTGGCAAGTCTATTGGGAGCTTGGAAGGCAGGAACACGGCTGCGGAGGCCCCTTCGTTTGATTTCCCTGAAGTGACCCAGAGGATTGAATGTCCCCAACGATGCTAGTGCTGCAGATTGCCAGGTGCAGGCTGGCAGAGATGCATACCGATGGAAGATGCCAACATTTTGGACAGGTTCATTGCCATTCGCTTGTGTTTAAGGCTTTGGTTTCAATAAAAATGTGTTCCTTTCGATGGACGCCAAGAAGAGGGGGTGGCTGCAACCCAGGCTGCCCCCATCCGTGTTGTCTCAACAAACCTGCTTGCTTGTACTTGTCCAAAACGAGGCGAAATATTCACAAGCACGAATTGTGCCTAGTTGAAAGAGCGAATGTCTCCATATGCACGTACAGCATTGGGAACATGGTGGTCAAGTTGTGCATTGCTAACAAAATCCTTGTTATCGGCTGCAGTCAAGCTGTCAATATGGAGAGCGCCTGAAAGGGCCTGCTGAGCATCACACCATGAACAGAGGTTGCAACGTGCGCAGCAGCCTTTGTGGCCACAATCTCACATGCCCTGTCTTTCTGTTTCGCTTGGAGATCTCTGCACCACATTCAAACCCTGTGTGGACGAGATCATCGTGGAAGGCATGCCCAGAGAGTTTGGGAATCGTATGGTATGCTTTCCTTCTTGCTCGAAAGACTGGCTTCACGACTATGTCGTCACTGCTCCGCTTCTCAGCAGGCTACGATGCACCACTTGCCGCTTGCACCACACACATATCATGTGCCTTGGCATCTTCCGTGTGGACAGCCTTGCTGGCGCCCTATGTGGCTTGGCACGCACACATACCCTATTTTGCAGTCAAGGTTGTGTCAACAGCAGAAATGGCGGGAAGGCTGCAGGCAGCGCCCAAAGGGAAATATGCTTGCGGACCAATCCAATCGACCCTGCGACATCCTCTTTATTGTACCCCTCATCCAGAATCAGCACAGGTTAACACAGGGATATCTCCACTGCAGTCCTCACAACCGGGTCAGCTGGATATGCATAGGGGCACAAGACAACATCTGCCTGCTCTCCCCGGTTTGGGGAAAATATGGGTATTCTTCCTCAGTTTCTCCTCAGACACCAATTCTTCTATGTCTAGAACGTGTTTGCACAGACAACAGCAATTGACAGACACACTTGGGCGCATGCAACCCGCCCATGCAACCCGCTTCTTCATACCATTGATGCCACACAGGCCAGGAGCTGCCGATCCAGGGCAGCCCTCAACACAAATAGAATGTCATAAGAGCATCTTTATCGGTGGGTGCTATTGTTCCGGCGGAGCTATTCAGAAACGGTTCTCATTGGCTGCCATGCCACCTTACTAAGGTGGCATGTGCCAAATAGCGCCGGTGCTATTGGAGAGCAATAGCACCGGGCGTGCATCCGTAATGGTGGATGCCTTGGGGAGCAATAGCACCCCGTGGGCATCCGTAACGGGGGGTGCTATTTGCATGGTTCGGCTGTCCCAAGGCCCCTCCGCTGTACTAAGGCCCCTCCGCGTTGTTCCAAGCAGCCGCCGCCAAGTGCTGCGCGAATAGCACCGGTGCTATTCTGGGGAGCTATTCGGTCTCGAGCGGAGCTATTCTAGCCCCGAATAGCTCCGCTGGGCGCCGAATAGCTCCAGGGGAGCTATTGGGGAGTTATTGCTCCCCAACCGTTAATGATGGTTTTTTGACGTGCGGAGCTATTCGGATAGCCGAATAGCTCCGCCGGAACAATAGCGCCGACCGATAAAGATGCTCTAAGGGACACTGTCTAACACATTGTCAGTGTGACTTCGAGAAACGCCACAATCGAGCGCCACGTCGTTTGCAGAACTGCCAAATAAAGTACTGCGGTGTCTTCCCTTCAAAATCGTGCCCGACCGAACAAGCTGGCGCGCGTATCTGTCTCCCGCGCAAAACGGCCCACGCCGCTGTCCCGCCGAGCCTAGCGCAAACCGACCGCCTCTCAAACTGGAGTCCTCACCGCCGCTGCCAGCCCACCCCCCGCGCCCGTCGATCGCCATGGCATCCCACGGGAGGGACAGGGGCAAGCCCATGCGCGTCTCCCTGGCGGCCAACGTTCCCGCGCGGCCCTTCGGCCGGTGCGCCCCCACGCCCACGCCCTACCCCAGCACGGCGGCCAAGCTCAGCCGGAAGTCCAGCGCCATGGGGCGGGGGGGGATCAATGCCGATCCCCGCCCCCTGAAGGACCCCGAGTTCATCAAATCGCAGCAGGAGCTGGTGATGGCGTTCCTGGAGAGCAAGGGGGACATCCACGGGCTGAGCGCCAAGGCGCTGTGCGCCCCGTCCGGGAAGGAGTTCAGGATCATTATCAGTGCCCTGCAGCGGGTGCTGGACCCGCGGTGCAGGAACGTGCCGCCTAAGGTGGAGGACCAGGTGCCCACGCTGCTGCGGCGGCTGCGGTATCCCTTTCAGGTGGGGCGGAAGTTTCGATCGCCGTTGATCGGAGTCGCGGAGCTGCCGGTCGTTGCCCGCGTGCGCACGCTTTCTTGGGGAGCTGCTGCCGCGGAAAATTCTTTTGGTTTGTCCCCCGCGCGCGTGGCCGACGGTTCATTTGAAGCATGTCGTCAGAGAGGAATGTCGTGAAGAGTGGCAACCCCCCCGTCCTGGTTCAGCAACTCGACGGTGGTTTTCTTTCAGCTTCATGGCTTGGATGGCTCGTCCTCGGCAGATTTTTCAGCTCTGTCCATCCCTCTATTCCAAAATATCACAATCAGAGTACCCTCGCAGCATGTTCCCCAATTATGTTATGGGCGGCCTTGTTGATTGTTTCGCATCACCATGGCCAGGTGAAAACCAGTCACTTTCATCACATGGCCACAATCTGACAAATCACTGGAACTGCAATTGTGAAGCCATACCAGGATTGACCCTTTGGCAGTTCTCTCTTGCCAATCAGCACCCTGGGTGCTGCCTGTTGACCCAAGGATAGGCAAAGGAAGGACCAAAGAAACGGTTGGTCTGCATATCCTTGCAGTCTTCAGCTTTCCCTTGTTGTGAGCCAGTATCATTCCACAAACACTTTTGCAAAACTTCAGCATGCTGCAGCCCACTTACTGTGGCTTCCATCCTTCTGGCCACCCCAGGTGAATGAATACCATGGAGTGAATAGCTACATAACATAATAGATATCGTCATATAGGCAACATTGGCTGGTCGATCACCACAAAAATGGAACAGATTCGATACACATGCCTGGTGGGTGGTGGGTCCATGCTGAAGTGAATGTGTTGTGCAAAGAAACTGCAGCAGGGTTCCAGCACAGGTTTGCAACAGTCCACACGCAGCACTGTGGCCCGCAGGTGTCCAAGTCTGCCCTCAGTGCGGTTGGCGCCCCACACTCATGGCCACCCATCCTGGGCAGCGTGGCCTGGCTGGTAACATGCCACAACTACATTCAGCATGTGGTCACCAACAAGACCCTGGTCGGTGGCCTGGGTATGGGAGGGTCAGGCACCGACAGTGCACTGGACCACATTAAGGCCACCTGTTTTGAGTACCAGGGGCGTAGCTACAGGTGGGATTTCACCTCCTTTTTTTGGTCTTTGTGTGCTCTGGGATTAGCTTCGGTGTGGAGCTGATTTTCCTGCATGCCTTTCCGTGGATTGACAGAAGTCATGTCAGTCTCTGCCAAGTTGGATCAACAGTTCACGGTGCAGAACAATGTTGTGCACAGGCAGCCCCCACCCCTCAAATGGCTGCTGTGCATTGGTGAATATTTGTGAACAATCATTGTGCCAGCATGTGTGCCATTGGTTTGCAGGTGGAGTTAAACGTCCAAAAAATGGCAAATCTTAGTCACAAGGGTGGTGCATTAGCATGAAACTATCCAAGTGCATCAAATTTTTGATTGCCATGAAATACCGAGTACATTGAACTAATGGATTGCTGCTGTGGCACAGGATGTTCATAGCAGGTGAGGATGAACGGCAGCAAGAGATCGATGAGGAAATGTTTGCAGGCTTCAGGCAGGAAGAGGAGCAGCTGGCGGAACGGATAGAGGCCAAAAAACAGGTAGGGTACCACCATGGCATACAAAAAGGACAGAGTGAGCTATTGAAGGAAGGAAAATGGTTGTATTCTTGCAGGCACCCGTAAGACTGTGCACTGGCCACGGCATGTGTGTCTACTGCAGGCAGATGACTAAACATTTTGATTTGCTGTTTGGAATAGAGAAGACAGTGTCAGTTGCAATGTGGTACACAAGCACCTCACAGAGCTTGTTGAACGAACACCTCAGCCCTATTATCAGATGCCGCATGGCAATGATTGTCATAACTTCTGCAATTGCCTCCAAACAGACTGGCTCATGCACATATTGACCCAGAGAATGTTCCTGGATTTTCGCAGAATTTTGAGGCGTTTGCCACGTTTCATTCTGTCGTGTTTCTTGGCACAGGAGCTGGAGGGTGTTGCTGAGAGAGTAAAGTGCCTGAAGACAGAGCAATCTCCCCTGAGCCAAGCACAGCAGGAGTTCGACCTGGTCAAGAGGGACCATCAGAAGTTTGTGAATTTGATACAGGCTCAGCAGGTTGGAAACCTGTGGGATTGTTTCCCCCTGGTGAAGGGGACACATGATTTTTTTTGGCAGTGACCATTCCATCCTGAGCAAGAACCCCTGTAGGACCTTTTTTTCATTGCTGTTGATTGTTGGTAACCACTTGCTATCTAGTTACACGTACTTGCAGTGCATTGCCACAATCATTAGTTAAGTGTTAGTTATATCTGATACCTTTTCCTCCCATAGTGGTGATGTGGCATTCTGTGGGTGCAGCAGGAACGGCATGGAGCACTCAATTGCACCTATAGCCGTTTTACCTGTATGCAAGGGAGCCTGCCTTTGAGCTGTTGGTCCACTATCCCACATGTAGCAATGCAAATTGAACAGTTGGCTCATCAGCGCATTGAAAACAAAGACAGACCCCCCCCCCCCCCATGCGAATATACACACACGCACACAACAGCTGCAGCATGGTGAAGAAGATACATTCGGAATGGAGCTGCTGTGGTGGCCCCCATGCTGCTTTCTTGCCAAACACTGGACTGTTAATTGCATTGCTGGAAGCAACTTTGATGTCTGCTGCAGATCGTTGCAACTCTGCTCGAAATCTGTTGTTTTCTGTATCTTGGGGCCGGGGATTGCAGGTTATGTGCGAAACGGTTTCAGTACAGAGCTGCAAGCATCAGTAGGATGCTGCAAGGGAACAAGTTGCCAAGGGTAATTTCCTGAAAAATCTGCAACAATTCCAGTAGCATTGTGGTTCAGGGTGTGGTCATTTGTTGGAAACTCTTGAGCAGAGCTGCAAGAGTTAGATGGCACACCCAGTGGTGTCCATCACCACATAACCAAACACCGTCTTTTGCCTTGGACAACAACCCTTCAACATGCTATCACACGATGGGCAGGAACAACTCAAGCAGCTGAAACAGAGGGTCGCTGAGAGGGAGAGTGGCCTTGCCCACAAGAAGAGAGAGCTGGCAGAAGTGCAGCAGGCAAGTTGAGCCCCTGGTAAATGATTTGAATGCAATTGTATATTATGTGTATTTGTGCACCATATGCTATTTGTACAGTGGACGGATCCAGTAGTGTACAGCAAGAGGTTTTGAACGAACTGTGATTGTAAGCACAATTGAATAATTTGGAGATGCCTCAGAGTGGTGCTTTGTATTTCCTTTCATACCTTGACAGGATTGTGGAAAACCATGATAAAGCAGTGCCCTTGTATTTGTTGGGCCATGCAGCCATGTCTCATGCCCTTCATTCTCTACCAGACCTACAGATTGGCCATCCTTTGGGCGCTTCCATGACAAAGAGACCTGCTGGGCAATTGCTTTACCTCAATCGTGCTCTGCATGTCTGTCGATAGGAAATCGAGAGTTTGCGTGCTCAAGTGGCAGCACAGAACATCAGTGTCGATGATGTCAATCAAATGATGAATGAGAGGTATGGCATAGAAGGCCACTAATTGGCTTGTTCAAGCGAAGACCAATCAAAGCACTGTTTTGAAGTTGTTTTGCACTGTCAGGCAAGGTTGGCCGCACATGGGCACCCTTGCTGTTACCTGCTGCACTCAGAAAATATCCCAAAAAAAGTGTTGAGCAGGAGAGGGCCTTTCATGATATTTTTGCTAAGCAGAGTAGCTGCAATCCTGGCGAGTGGGACAGTTGGCTCTGGCCTTCTTTCAAGTGGCTGACATCCAGCCAGATGCAGACTGACAGAAATTTACAGATCGGAAACAAAGTCAAAGAAACCTTTCTTTTTTGAAACTACAAGGACCGCATATTTAGATATGGGATCAACAGCACTGCCAGTTGAGCTGTGCTTGCCTTTTGACTTGCCAAACACACACGCAAGGTTGAAGAAGGGCGTGCTGCATTCTTGATAGGAGCCTGCACTCCAATGCATGATATGTTCCTTTTTTAAAGAACACATCTGAAAAGCAAATGTCTACCATCAACAGCAGCAACATGAACCAGTACAGTGCTCCTGTTAGAATTCAGCACTGATGCAGTTGTAAGTTTGTGCATAAATCCGCCTTGACCTTGTCTCCAAGAATGAGAAAATCTTGGCCATGGCATCTGTCAGGCCATGTGGGTTGTTGTCCCCATCCATAGGTGTTTGCTCACAACGTACCCTCGATTCTGTAAGCAACGAAACAGCCCTGTAGTTGTGCTCTCATGGGTTTACTTCTGCAGAAAGAAGTTGGAGCAGATGAGGGCAACTGCTGCAGCACAGCGAGCAACCATGGAGAAGGAGGCCTACGAATTGGAAATGAAGGTGAACTCTGGCACGATGGTGTTTGCCGTGTATGTCTGCCTTGTTTTGCAACTTGCTGCTCCCTGCTGGAGAGCGTTTGGTCAAATGAAGCACAGCAATTTGGAAATGCCTCACCAGTATGCAGCGATTGACGGCAGTGCTTTCCCCAGCAGTGTAGATGCCCTACACGAATCTATTGCAACATGTTGCAAACCTATGATAGAATGCCGGACTCAATTTTGCCAGAGACAATGCAGAACCCCAACCAGCACATGCTGCAAGCTGAAGGCTGCATTATATTTTGCTTGAATTCAATTAAAAATGTTCTGTTTTGGTTCTCCTCTTGCAAAATTGCTTATCTTCAACCTTCCCCAAAGGGCATGTGGCATTGACTGTTGTGCTGCATGTGAATGACCTGCATCCACCACAATGTGCACTGCTAGCAGATAGGCATCTTTCATGAGCACAATCACTGTAGTTGATTTGATTTTGTGGGCAGCTGGATAAGGCTGAATGCAGAAACAACAACATCGTCAGCACATTGCAATTCGTTTGCCCTTTCGCCTGCCTGGCAATGCTGGGGATGTTTGCTTGCCCACTTTGAGGCTTCCTGTGCTTCAGACTTTTCAAAAGGGTACTTGGCCTTTGAATATTATGCTGGGTTCGATTTCCTGGTCAGGTGGAGGAGGCTTTGGACTGCCTCCAGAGTCGCGTGCATGAATATAATGTTGCAGCACAGCACCTGAAGCTCATCCCACAGACGGCCAAGCGAGCAGCTGGACGGGAGTTTGAGATCAACATCGACCGAAGCGCACAATCCCCAGGAGAACTGTGCCCGATCGACCTGAAAGTGAGTGTGAAATTCAGTGCACACGCTAATCAGTATCGAATAAGTTTGATACACAAAGAAGTTGATAATGCAATATGCTTATGTTAATTTGTTTAGAGGACATGATTCAATACTGACATTGCATGTGGGAGGCGATGAAGGGTGTGCTGCCCATTTGACTGTTGGGCAAAGTAGCATCCAACTGGAAGTGAGAGAACCTGGTAACTGAGGATGAGGAAAAGGTCCTTGCCATTTTGTGAAGAGCTCAGAAAGAGGAGTCTACAAACACTGCAGGAACGTGGAATCTCTACAAGTAACAACAGCAGTGTATCACTACAACAGCAGAGACAAAATGAGGAGCACAAGGAGGCAAAACATGCATTGCACACAACACAAATGATGCACATAGTTTATGCAGTGTAGGTGTTGCAATAAATTCCTGAACTTGCTGTTCATGTAGTGGCAGCTACACGATGTCCTCACTGGTCTCCTTGCCAGAGAGCGACTGGTGCTGGGGCACCTGGCACACTCCTTTTTCTCCTTCCTTGTTCCAAACTAATTGTAAGATAGGAACACAGGCTTGGACAACGTGGTCAGTCTTACGACCACACTACAGGCATTCTTTCTCTGCCCTGAGCCACTGTATCAATTGTTTTTTTACCTGTCGATTGTGGGCAACAGGGAATGGTCATCCCTGCACTGCAAGAGCTGAGGGAGACCTACACCACCAGGTGTAGATCGCTGGGGACTCAGCAGCTTGGGCTGCAAGAACAGTGCGATTCTCTTTGCGAGAGGCTTGCCGACAAGAAGGAAACACAGCAGGAAACAGAGCAGAGGGTGAGGAGCAAGGGCAATCTGAGTTCACTAGAGACACGTGATGTGACCAGCGTGTCTTATTTTCACGTTGGCTTCAACGATGCACTCACTTATTCAATTCTTTCACAAGGGAGGGTTCAGCTGCCACAACCATGAGTCGAACCTGATGTAGTTTATTGCCACCTCGCGATGGTGCAAAGTGTTGCAACGTCTAAGCACCTAATCATTTGGGATCCGAATAGTATGCATGTGAAGTACATGAGTAGACCAAGTGGATCCAATCATTAGCAGCACATTCCCTTGTCTCTTTTTAAGCGCTTTTTGGCTAGCAAATTTGGAGACCAATCGTTGCTTTGCAGCTTGTTTTGGGTGGTGATAGCAAGCCCATTTCCACACTAGCTCCAATGGATGATGCCAGAATAGGCAGCTGAATTCACTACTCCTAAATTCATTGTGCTGACTTCTATGGTTGCTTTATTGGTTCATAGGTATGTGTGCCTTGAGCCCAACAACCCAGCAACTAGAATGAGTGGATTTGCTTCCAAAAGAAAATAAAACTCGCTGCTGAGACATATAATCCAATACGTATAAGGACAAAAAAGGAGGTTGAACACAACGCGAATGATTGTGGGTGTGAGGACAGGAGAATACATTAGTAATTATGTGAAGAATGGTGTTTTGATGGTGAATTGAATATGGTGTTAAATATGGTGAAATGGGGAATGATTGGGTGGAATATGGATGGGGCACGCTTGCAGTGAACACTGCAGGACCGAAACAATCATTTTGTAATCTATCTGGTTGCGGCTTGCTCCCCGTGCCTGGGAGGGCGATTGCATGCGAGCGCACGCACCGGACGCGCACAGCCTAACAATGGGAATGCCATGTGAACAGATAAGCAAGCTTGAAGACGACTTCCAAGTTGTCAAGAATGCCATTGACGCTGATGCACAGCTTGCCGAAAAGAAGATTGAAGAAATGAAGGTGTGCATGGTTTTGAATGCTGGATTTCAGCCCATCAATGAATGGAAACATTGAACAAGTCGATGTCGAAAAATTCTGGTTGTTGGTTTGTGAATTTGCTGCCACTGTAGTAAAGAATGATGTCAAGCTGAATTCGCCACATTTATTTTGCTGGTTTCTGGATGGCCGATTGCCCTCTACATCTTGCTTTGCTGCTTAATGCCATGGACTGGTGAAATGTGAACCAGCAGTACCCCATGTGCCAGGTTTGGTAATGAGGCATGTGCAAAATGGCAGTGACTTGTGTGAATGGGACAGATGGCTGCCGAACGATTGAAGAATCATGGGGAGGCATCCGTTGCACAGGCAGCGGAAGAAGCTTCAGCAGCAAAGGCAGCCTACGAGCAAGTGGCAAAGTGGGAATCACTGAAGGCCGTGCATAAACATGGAATTAATCTTTCTTTGTTGCATTTGGACAGAAGAATGAATCAAATTCTCCAAATCATGATGTCAAGAACTTGTGGAACAATGGTGTCCAAGCACGATTGCCAGACATAAACCCACAAGTGCACTTGCAGCATGCGATGTTTGCAAATCTGCACACGTTCACGATCTATTGCCCAGCCAGTAGGAGGTCCTTTGGCCTGCAGCCCACTGGAGCATGTTGGTAGCAACTTTTGTTGTGAACCTTCCTTTCCATTGGTCCATGTTTGTTTTGTTGTGTGTTTTGTCTACAATCCTCTCGTCACAATGTACTCCACCAGCACTTCATTCCTTTTAGGTGTTGAAGTACAGAATTTATTTTGTTCACATACTCAGATTCTCCAGTCTCAGCGTGCTGTGCATGATATGGCACCACCAGTGGTTAGATTGGTGGCACACGGGGTAAAAACACTCAGAGAACAATTGCTTTTGCTTCTTTCATGATACTGCATAAGAAATGGTATTCCGTGGGGAACAAATGCAAGTGGATGTGAAGAGTGCCCACCAATTGCCCAATTGAGCATGACCTGTCATGTGTTGTTGAATGCAACCAATGCAATTTACGCCATGGATACAAAATGGAGCAATAGAGAACCACCACTTTTACCCTGCGTCCTTGACCTGCAAATGGGCAGCATTTGCAATAGCCGCCTGTTTGATGCAATACAGTGACTTGGCATATTTTCACAAATGCAGCCTATGGAGATGCGCGATTTTAGCCTAGCAGGCACAACAGCAGCGATCTGCCAGTGTCACTCCGAGATACCACATACTTTTGTCTGGCAATAGAAAAGGAGTGGCCTGCCCTGTTCGGACTGGCGGCTGGCTGCCTGACACACAAGGGCCATTTCCTACCAGGGAGTGTGATGCCCATGAGCAGAGGCTCAGGGAGGATTTCAACAAGATGCTGGAGCTGCTCACCGAGAGTTACCACCACGTTGGGGCCACCATCAAGGAAGTGCGCGATCAAATCAAGATGGCTTGGGAAGAGCAAGGGGAGCCACTGCACAGCCCCAAAATCGCTGCCCCAGGCACGCCGCGGCGTTCCCTTGCCACCTGAGAGATGACCCAAGGGCCTGTGGGGCTGGAATATTAAAGCTTTGTATACCAATTGTTTTGCAGCGGGTGACCTGTTGGAGACGGGCCTGAATGGCCAAAGTCGGTGAATCAGCTGACCATGAATTTCAGTGGGGTGTTTGCGACCTTTGGAGTTGCTGACAGGGCACGTCAGGAGACAAATTATCTGCAGTTGGATGTCACTCGATAGACAAATCTTCTGTGACTTGGGCTCAAGGGCTGGTTTGCCTGTAGCTGGGAATTGCTTAAGTGTTGATTCTGCACTGACTATCAGAGATGTTGAGAGAGGGGGGTCAGGACACGAGTGGCCAAGGTTGACAATTACTCAATCACAAGTTCTTCTGTCACGTTCAGAGGTACTGGAACAGAATATCGGGGCAGCTATGGATCTCAATAGCTTGAAGTTGGCATTCACTTGGTTGACGAATCTTCAACGACAATCAGAGGGAGAGGGAGAGGGAGCTTCAGGGCTAAAGGATTGCTGATGGCAATCGCTCGATCAGCGATTCCTCTGTGACATTCAGAGCTGCAGCCACAGAGCCCTTGCTCTCAACGCCAACTGTTGCTGGCAGATGTCAATTGAATGGTGGGCAAGGCCACCTTGCGGCCTGAGACCCCTTAGGTGGCTCAAGATGGCGTCATTGTGTTGCTGTACTGGGAATCAGTCAATGCTTCCTTCCGCACTGCGTTTTCAGCGGCAACCAATGCAAGTGATGCCCCTCGAAACCTAGGTGTGCCAGCAAGCAGCCAGCATTTCGTTGTGTTCTGACGTGAGCCGTGATCACAGGAAGCAACGCTGCTTGCCAGCAGTGGGTGCCTGCAGATGGCAATGAGCAGTGTGACCTGATCACTGTGGTTCATCTGCCATCTTTTTCAAAGGCACGGATCCCATTGGTCAGTCAGTGGCTGTCCAATTTACGGGCTATCATTCCAGTACACATGCGGAATTGATTGCCCTTCTACTTGCATGCCTACATGCACCTAAATTTGGACCTTCACATCGGTGCACAATTGCAAGTGACTCCATGACGAGCTTACAGGCAATTCAATGTCGACAAGGCGGCAAACAACTTGCAGTCATCACTCGGAGTGCCTTGTTGAACCTCCAAGCTTACTATCCAGATCTTCGATTATGGTGGATCCCTGGTCATACTGGCATTACAGAACATGACCAGGCAGATTCTATAGCCAAACAAGCGGCTCATGGTCTCGGCCATATAGAGGTCGTTTCTGTCCCACACTCTTATGAAACCCTAAAGACCTCTATCAGACACCACTATGTCTCTCGCCTTGAGACGTTGTGGCACACTTCCATTTGTGGCCGCCAGCCATATGATGTCATGCCTCACTTCTCTCGTTCTTTGTTGGACCAGAGGCCTCTCACGCAGAGATGTATCTTTAGTGGCTCAGTTCCTAACAGGCCACTATCCAACTAACCAATACCTCCATCGTTTCCACCTTGTCGATGATCCACAATGCACATGGTGTCATTTCCCAATTGACGACCGCAACCACCGACTCTTTAACTGTCCCCGTTTTGCTTTTCTGCGGCAGCAGCTGACCAATGAGATCCGTCACTTGACACATGGCACTGGTGATTGGGATTGGGCTTATCTTTCCGGACTGGGAC